ACTGGGCCGTGGCATGTCAGAAACCAGGCCACATAAATAAGTGAAGCCCCATCTGTGGGATGCAGGCAGCATGTGAAACCATGCCCCTTCTGATCCACAGAAAAAAACTGTTTCCACGGAAACGGTCCCTGCCTGGTGCCCAAAAAGTTGGGGGCCACTGGGATAAGAGACAACCAGTCAACCTTGGTGTAACATTCCTAAAGCTGAGTTGTGCTCATGAGCATTCTTATTCAGAACAAATTTATACAATGGGGAACTTTCAAGGAAGTCCAACTGTTTTTAGGAAAGAGATTTTTGAAGTCACTTCAGTCCTCGTGCCTGCTTTCTTTGCTCTCTTACCATTATGTGCTGTGGTGTGCAAGAAGGAATCGTCCACCAGAAGGCAGTATCCTTCAGACCAGCACTGTGGCTCACCACCCACCACCAACTCACAACCAGGTGGCACTTTTAGCCCTAGAAGAAAAATGAATAAGCTGTGCGAGGAGGCTTACTGTATCCTGCCCCCCAACCCCTTATAAGAGGGAAAAGAGAAACATGCTGATATAAAGCACTAATTATGGGAACAACTTCCTACGCTGGGAGAAAGAGAAGCTGTCATTTGCAAAACCAAGAATGGGTTCCCCATTTGAATATAGAATTTTTATCACCCCATCCAGAATTGTGGCCACAACCTGGGGACCTTCTTCTTGCTTCAGCAGAAAGTAAATTGTCTCCCTGTCTTGCAAACAACAGTCATAGCAGGAACTTACAGAAGATAGTTGTCTTTGGAGATCCTCGATCATCCAGGTCATGGTTGAACCAAAGCTGCTTTCTCCAGAAGGCAACTGGACTTATTGGGTTTTTTCCTTTGAAAACATTTAGCTTCTCATTCATGAAACTTCTTCAGTTCAAACAGTTCGAACTGAAGAAGCTTCTTGAACGAGAAACGAAAAGTTTTCAAAGAAAAAAAACAGCAAGAAAATCCAGTTACTTTCTGGAAAAAACATCTTTGGGACCGCAGAAGATAATTGGAGAGGAAAAGAAGTTCTACACAACATTTAAAAAATGCTTTCTGAAAAACCCTGTTCACGCCCTCCTGCCTGCACTTGAGGTCAAATGCCTGAGATTTTATTGTGAGCTACTGAAACATTTTAAACTTTTTGAAAACTTTTGATTAGGAGCCACCCAGTGTTGGTTATAAGACTGGGGATGGAAGCTATATAAATGTTGCAAATAAAAAGGTAAAAAGAGTTTATTTGATTCTCCTTGGGCTACCTACCCACCTACCCATCGAACTTGCACTGTGAATCAAAGTGTTGGCCAATGATGCATTTTTCTCATAGCACCTTCTCTGAAGAGGTATCCTACAAAGAATGCCTCTTCTGAAATGCCACTTGTCAACTGCAGATCTTCTAAAAAATAAGATTTGTTTATAATTTGTGGAGCAAATTCATCTGAAGCAGTGCTGCAGTTCACAACAATTATTCCAATCTGCTTGTTTGGCTGCTTCTAAATATAAATAGCATAGTTAATAAAATAGAATAATAATGATCAACTAAGCTTATAAACAGCTCCTACTTAGGGAACAAAACTAGACAGCATGTATTACACTGAAAGGAGATACTGGCAATACAGGTTTTCAGATACTCCCGCCCCTTCCCCACCAAATAGATGCTGTGATCTGACCCATTCATCGCTCCTCCAGTATTTGCTCACCTAGATGGCACCGTACCCTGGTGTTTGTTGGTCCATAGGTGCCAGGTAGCACGGTTCCAGGCTGCAAGACATTAAAGCAGGCGTTTCCAAAGCAATTGGCGTTGATAAAGGTGCGTAGTGCGCTGAGTGCCCGATACGTCCATGGGCAGCTGCGACAATTCTGTGCTATGCACTCCCCCTGTCGGTAGAGGTAATAACTGTGCCAGCCAGGGTTGGCATTGACCATCCATCCCCGTGGCATTGGGGCTCCAGGTTCAAAGTCCCTTGTAATGCCCTCAAATTCCCGCAGGATGGCGGGGAAACTGAGTTCAAGAATCTCCACATCGTGACGCTGGGACTCGCGGGGAAAATAGGGGGCCGAAGGCAAGTCGGGGAGGTAGAAGGCGCTGGGCTTCTGGATCGCCATCCGTTCGCCCAGCTGATAATGGGCCTGGTCCCGGATACCTTTGTGCAGCCGGTTCATACCTGACCACGAATAGCGCTTGGCGTAATCTCGCAGGCTGCGATACAGGCGCTGATTGATAGCATCGCCCCTGAGGGTACGGCGAGGGCATCCTTCTTCGGTCGGCACACCTTGTGGATGAGACACAGGGGCTACCTGCCCTGTCCCCACACGATAGCAGTACCAGATGAACAAGAGGGCTAGAGAACCTAGTACAGCTATGGCCGGCTCTGGTCGAGAGTGCCATGTAGAGGGGTCAGGGAGGAGCGGGGAGAGAAGGCCACGGAGACCCCAATCAGCCATGATGCTGGGCATCTTCGGGCAAAGTTAGAGCATCTTATGCAAATCTGCTGGCCTGCCCAGCCATTCTGAATCACCCAGGCCAATTCATAGGGTGCCCTTTCAACCCTCGTTTTCTATTTCTTCCTGCTCATTTAATATTTCGCCCGGCTGCTGCATGAATCCATTCTTTAAACCGATGCCTAATTTCTGAGCCTTCTGTCAATAATTTTCACCACTTCTGTCCCGCACACCATCCCATTCCTCTCTCCCTCTGTCGCTATATCGTCTTCTTCTAAACTGGTCCTCATTCTGCCTTATCAATTCTGCCTATCTCCTCTCATCTGCCTCCACTGCTGTAATTTCCCCGCTCTGTTCTAACTCTGTCCTCACTAGTCACCTTCTCTGCTGGTGTCCTCCATTTATTGCAAGACAAATGATACCTTCGCCAGACAGATGTGTTTTCCCCTCCCCACCCTTTTTTAAAATCTCTACCTGTTCATTTGTCCATTTCCCAGTCACTCCATCTTCTAATATTCTTGCCTTCTCTGTCTCTCCCCCAAATGCCTTTATCACTCTCTTCCCTGTGTGATTCTCTTTCTATATCCTCCTGGCTGAACTCCTCCGTTACCAATTGTCTACAGTAATTTCTGTTCATGCACATAGACGCCAGAGGCATCCGGAAAAGATTAGAGCTTTCCCCTCCCCCCTCCCCCCTCTCCCCCCCCCACTGCTCTAATCTGCCATCCCTCCCTTTGACGTCTTCCTCTCCTTCCTCGTATCAGCACAAGCCGAGGTTTCGCTGCATAAACAGCCACCCCAACCACAGCCCGGAACCCCCTGTAATAACAGTGCTCGAATGGGCATATGGTCACCCTGAGTGATTGATCTCATCAATAAGCAATCATTTCTAGGGTTTGGGGGTGGGCATAGGATTGAAGAATGAATTATTGAGGGTTGCAAAAGGTAAGATGCCAGCTAGGCCTGCTTTAGATTAGGGCCCCTCCTCTTGCAGCATAGGCTCAGCCACGTTGGAGGCAATCCCTGCCTGCAGCGCAGCCATCTTTCCACTCCCCTTCCCTTCCCCCATCCCCCCCCCATGCATTTCAGGCTGCAGCTGATTGCTGCATCAGTTGCACATCTGAAATAAGTCTTTAAACTGCACACCAATGGTTACTGCTAATTGGAACGTTCCTGTGAACCATCCTTAGCATCTTTCTTAGCAGCTCCTGGTACCTATATCCTAGCAGCTGCCTGGCAACCACAATGTCTCCGTAGCAACCATCCTTCCATAGCAACTTTCATAGTAACCATTATGAAGGGAGATTAAGTTGAAGCCGCCAAAGAGGGGAGGTTCCTTTTTCTGCCACCGCCCTCTACCACCACCCCTGAAGAGCGATCACGTCCCCACCTCTACAATCTCTACATCTACCCCTCCCTAATTATTTTTTTAAAATGCTTTTTTCATCTTGATTGTGTGCCTCAGACCAAAAGGCCCAGGATGGGAGAGGGTGGTGATGGTTGTATTGGTGGTGGTAGAGTTTTTATGGGAGAGTTATAATTGGGAGACAAAACCTTGGAGTTGTGAGGGACCAAGGAGCCAAGGTGGGAAGTGGGAAGCTGGAGGATGGAAAAAGGCCACAGGTAACGTTGGTGCAGAGAGAGGAAGAAAGAAGAGCAATTCTAAGATGGATTTTGAGGAAGGGAAGAGAAAAATAAAAGAATGAGACACAATATGGGAATATTTTCATAATAAACACAACATTTCTGTGAAATGCTAAATAAATATTGTGGTTTGCAAATATCTACAGTAAATAAGGAAGGTATGAAAGTTCACACACACACATACACACACACACACACAAAACCCATCAAACCGAAACCCATACTGAGAAATGCGTAAGCTCAAATGGAGTCAGACATTCTGCTTGCCTCGAATTTCCCAAAAATGGCAACATAAATATTTGATAGTTTCTTGCTGTATTTTTTTTTTGGGGGGGGGGGGGGGAAAGATAGTCAATCTAAGGAGCCTGTCTGTTTTACTCTTCTCATCTGCTTCCTTACAAGGAGTGAGCAAAATATTATTGGTGTATTTTTGTAACAAAATGCATAACTTATTTTCAGAATTCTTGTGGGAGCCGATGTTACAAATCATTAAATAAGATTTGCAACATCACTAATAAAGTTTGCATCTGTTTTCCTCCAGAGGGGGTTTATTTTCTGTAAGAGAATAGGTCTTGAACAATTTCCCTTTATTATCTAGAAAAGAAGATTTCTTTATATATTGGCTTGGAAAATCAGGAAGCTGTATTTTTTTTAAAATAGGAATGGACTGTTACATTATGTTCCTTATTTTTTTAAAAAAATCAAATAACATAATTTATTTTCCATATTGCACTTTCAACCTATACATAAGTATAGGTTGATACTTATGGGAATCTGCTAGGATGGGGGTGTGGATTTATATTCCCCCGTCTCTCTATAATATTCAGAATAATGCATAGAACCCATCCAAATTGCAACTGCAAATACACATTGCGTTTCATTGTCAAGGACAGAAGAGGAGGGGGAGAGAGAGAGATGCTTGATTTGCCAAACCACTGAAGGTTTTACATTTTTAAAAAAGAACTGTTCATGATATCCTTCTATTCTTATTCAAGTTTTTCCTGGTTTGGTAACAGAATCTATTGCAAGAAAGGAACGGGGAAGAGAAGCTACATGGCAATGGCAATATATCTATACATGACTTTCCAGACGGGTATGTAGGTGGCGGAGAAAGAAGGATCCGATGCCTTTTCTTACGCAAAGAAATTCATTTTGGCCTCCCCTGTTTCTCCATTCAGTTGGGTGAATGTAAGACATGAGAGAAGAAGAGGGGTTCTGGGTGAAAGAGGCCTGACATCATGCCTGCTCTCAAACATAATTTCACCGAAAGGAAGCAGTCCACTGCATTTCTCGTTCTATAAGCGAAAAAGGGAAGAGCGGGTCCAGATAACACAGTTAATCAGTTATGCAGCAAGCAGGAGCAGACTGCAGAAAAGGCACATTTCCAAAACACAAATAGAAAAAGCCTAGGTTGCTTTGGAAAGACAAAAGAGAAAAATCCTACAGAACTAGCCCTTGCAAAGAAGCTACTGCATTTTCATTTGCTAAGCAGACTCCTAGCTCCACGGCTCCCTTGCCTGGCAGGAGAAGGAAATAGCCAGACTAGGTATTCTGCAGGTCTGAAGAAATCCAAAATGCGCTGTTTGGAAAAAGCAGGACTCAACATGCCTCTTCTGCTGCTGCTGCTTTGCTCCCTCTCTCTTCTACAAGGTAAGCGGGAAGCTTTTTAGCACAAGGGCTGGGGAGGGGGGCGGCCGGCGACCCAAACGGAAGGGGCTTATTTCAATTTAACCATCTTTTGTATTAAAGAAAAGGGGGGTTGAAAATCCATCTTCATCACTACCAGCTCCCCCCCCTGCCCTTCCCCAGTGCAAATGGCAGGTGGGCATGTTGTAAAGATGGTGTTGTAGGCAAAGGAAGCCTATTTGAAAATATATCTTGACATGGACCACAAAAAAAAAAAAAAGGATTTGTTTTCATTGCTTGGGGATGCACACATTTTTAAACAGCTGTAGGGAAACGATGGTTGCCAGAGGATAAAAGAAGGGAGTTGGTATTTGATGATCTGTGATATCTCCTAAGGTGGAAATTGTGGAGGGGGGAAGAGAGGGGTTGTTCTCTGGTTGTAGTAAGCAGACTGTAGAAATCTGATGAGGATCACGGTCAATAGCAAGGAGGATGTAATTTGGGGTGCTCTTTGGAAAATGGAGAGGAATTTTATTTAAAAAGCTGTAAAATCTGCTAGAGAGAGATTTGGAATCATCTTCACTTTACCTTATTCTATATCTTTGAGGCATTATAAAGGTTGGCAGTGATTTTAAGGGAAGTGATTATCTATAAAGGGTGGGTTGTCAGGTTGTTGTAGAAGGTTGCAAGTGAAGCAGAAATTTGAGGCTGACCCTTGACGGGAAGTTACAGATATGACTGAAGATCTGATAGTTAGGTTTGAAAGCTGACCTGAATTTTTGAACACCAGGGTCCAAGAAATGGAGTGGAATGAGATGTGAATAAATTGAACTAGGCAAAGAACAATCTTCTTCCACTGAGGGGAAAAAAAATCCCTGGGGTTTTGCATGTAATGCTGCCAAGAAAAACAAATTCAATATTCATGCATTGCTAAACTGAAAAAGCAGAGTCCGGGTCAAAATGAGGGTGCCCCAATAAAGGTTCACTCAGAAGGATCACAAGCATAATGGCAAAGACTTAAAAGAGCCTGAGGAGGGAGGGGAGCATTATGAAATCATGCAAAAGGACGAGCTGTTAGGCGACGCATTTCCTAAACAGGTTAGCACTCCTGCAGCTCTGCAAATTCAGTGAAGGATAAGAAGTTCAAATTTGCTGGATAGGTTAGTGTGAACACTGATGCAACAGGGAGTCACCCTGGCAAAGGCCATACAGAAGGATGGTGGTAGGGAAAAAGTCTCAGAGTTTTGTGGGGCACAAGGATGTAAGGATGAGGGGGTGGGGAGAAGCAACTAGGCCTAGGAAACCAAGAAGGAGGGATGGGGTGTCATTCTTTTTTTTTTTTTAAACAAACTTTATTGAATTTAAAAATATTAACAAACAAAAATGAAAAGAGAGAATATACCAATTTTCTCTCTCTTAAAATTTAAATTTTAAAGATGTAAAGGGGTGTCATTCTTGAGGCAGGAAGATGCATAGATTTTCCTCTTAGACGTAAGGACACAAGGTTTTTTTTTCTGGATTGTATTTAAGAGTGTATTTTTCTCCTCCTCCAACACCACTACCATCACCATCATGCTTGTGGGAGAAGTTGAGATTACAGCAATCAGAAGGTGTTGAACATGGGAAATAATAATCCAAGCGAGATGTCATCTCACAAAACTTTCTATTAGAAGTTTTGCCCTCTCCAGAGGCTCTGGATTTTCACCAGCTGAGCAAACAAAGGTGGGGAAATCCCCTTTACCCCAAGACCAGCAAGTCAGGCCTTTCCACTCCTCAGATTACCAGCCATTTGACTGAGGGAGTAGCAAATGCACAGGGCACCCAAGCCTGTGAGGCAGCTGGCCTTCTTAATAGAGAGAGCTCAGAGCAAATTAATGGTTTGTCAGAAGCTGCCCAGATCCCACATGCTGGCAGTTGCCTGCAGCGGCTACAGCTGTCAGTCCTGAACTTGTCATATCCAGGCAACCCAAGTGATGTGCGGCACTCATCATTTTGAGGCCTTTGAGGTCCCTGATTGGATCTGCAGACTTCTCTGCTCTTCCAAACAGGAATGGCCTCTTCAAGTCAGCTATTACCCTTCCATCAGCAACCTGCCTCCTAGCCACAGGCTTTTGCTAATAAACTTCTATTCATTCAGCATGAAGCAAAGTTTAATGTATAAATATGAAGCTAAATGACGCAGCTTTCTGCAGCAAAAGAGAAGGGAGGCAGCATTCACAAGATCACTTTTACCCACGTAGGTCTCCAGTGGGTATCTGAGCTACCCAATTTCTCCTCAAGACATCACACAGCTACAAATTATTTGCCTCTTTTCACAAGGGAGCTATCCAGTTTACTGAGAAGACCGCATAATTTAGACAAATCATTCCACCTTAATTCACTTTAATCACCAGTTCTGTTAGATTGCCTGAGTCTTAACAAACCATTTCTATTTTGTATTCTTTCACCATCTGTTCTAATTGCTTATTTAGCTGGCATGGATAAAGAGGAATTTTTCTCTCTTCCTTTCTCTAAATAATAAGTTAGCAAATGGATTTGTCTTTTTTATGATTGTGGAGCAGCTTAAATTACTTCTTGAGGACAACATACAGATCACTTTGGACCCACTAAGTATATATGTGTGAAATTATATTTTACATTTTTTATTATCCCCAACTATGTCAATAAAAATGTGATTAAGCTGCAATTCAAAGTACTATACTTTGGGAAGTTGACACTTTCAAACGGCGTTTAAGTTTGTAAAGGTTACTGTTTATTTCAATTAATTTGGCCAAAGAAACATGGAAAATAAGTTGAGGTGATGATGGTGAAGGTATATCCCACATTTTTTAGGAACTAGTATCCCATGTTCAGGATTTTGCCTTAGAGAATTTAAGTTTGTAGAATTAAGTTTTTGATTCTTACTTCTATATCAATTATTTGCCTGGGAAAACAGATTATATCTATTTGGAAAAAGAAAAATATATGTGGCCCAATTCCCCTGTTGTAATGCACAGAGTGCTCACAATGCAATTTATAAACTCTGTCTTGAAAGAATCCTGCCCTCTAAAACCTTTCCCAATGTTAGCCATTTTAAAAAGTGTGGACTTCAATTCCCTGAATACCTCAGCCAGCATGGGAGTGGGGGGGATTTATTCTAAAATAACAGTGAAAGTGTTCATAAGTGCAAAAGAGAAGGCCTGAATGTGGTTAGAAGAACTAGCATAGTCAGTGATCAGTATACAAGCACTGCATAGCTTTCCTATGTAATTTCATCTTAAGAAATTATACAAAATAAGCCAAGAAGACCCAGAGGACAATTAGGTGCTGTTGCAAGACCTAGCAAGATCACACATGGCATTATAAAGTAGTCCTCGACTTATGACCACAATTAGAACTTTTGTCACAAGCAATGAGGTTGTTAAGTGAGTCATGCCCAGTTTTATGACCTTTGTTGCTGCTGTTGTTAAGTGGATCACCCAATTGTTAAATGAACCACATAGTCATTAAATAAACCCCTGTTAAGTCAGAAGTCAGTTGGGAAGGTCACAGATAGAGATCATATGACCACAGGACATATAATCTTTGTAAATATAAGTTGGTTGCTAAGTGCCCAAAATCATGATCCTGTGACCACACAGGGATGCTGTGTGAGGACCAGTCATCACTTTTTTCAGCTCTGTCACAATTTTGAATGGTCGCTAAATGAATGATAAGTCAAGACTATCTATAAATGGTTAGGCTAAACATAGGATGGTGGCAACTCTTTCATTGAAGGCTCATCTTTTTCTATCAATGTGCTGTTCAAAGAAAGGGGAACCAAGGGGCCTGTGGACCGAGAAGAGCATTCAGTGTACAGGTAGTCCTCGACTTACAACCATTCGTTTAGTGACTTTTCAAAGTTACAACGGAACTGCAAAAAGTGACATGACCGTTTTTCACATTTTTCACATTTCACTGATTTGCAGCGTCCCCATGGTTACATAATCAAAATTTGGACGCTTGGCAACTGCATGTATTTATGACAATTGCACTTTCCTGAGATCATGTGATCCCCTTTTGCAACCTTCTGACAAGCAAAGTCAATGGGGAAACCAGGTTCACTTAGCAACCGTGTTACTAAATTAACAACTGCAGTGATTCACTTAGCAACTGTGTCAAGAAAGGTCATAAATGGGCAAAATTCACTTAACAACTATCTTGCTTAGCAACGGAAGTTTTGGGCTCAGTTGTGGTTATAAGTCAAGGTCAAGCTGAAGTTGCGCAGGATTGGACCAATGTGTTAAGGGCGGCAGGACAAGATTACAGGCCTGGATGGAGATATTATATATACATAGAATAGTGAATGTATATAAATCAAATAAAAATGTTAAAAGTTTATGATCTTCTTGGGTTGCATTAATAGCTGTCCAGAGCTACATACAGTTCACAGACCGTGAGTGGGACTGGCGCAGGCCTGACCTAGAAGGTCATACACATATTTCTGTAGCTCTTTGATGCCATCTGTGGTGGTCTGGAATATTGCAGCCCAGAAAGGCCGGTCCCAGGAAAAAAAAAGTGGGAACCAGTGCTATGCCTGTTGGTCCAGGAGGGAAAGTGCAGCCTTGTTAAATTTAACAAATTTACAGTTTGCAGTGCATCTTCTTCTCTGTGGATTTATGAGGCCAATGTGAGAAGAATGTGGAGGACAGGCCAATGTTAACCCTTTGTCTCCTGCAGGCCTGCCTCTCTGGGAAAATGAGGAGGCCACCCCCTCCCCGCTGTTGGAGGCCCTCTCATCAGAGGCCATGGAAGGACCCAAGGAGGAAGAAATGGAAGTCTCGGCGGAGGTGCGGGGGTCTTCACCCCCCAGTCCCGAAGGCCTCTCTGAATTGCTGCAGGGGACACTGCTGAGAAAGGAGTTTCCTGGGGGCGAGGTGATGGAAGAGCCAATTCCTGGTGAGAAAAAGCAAAGAATTTGGGGAAGGGGAAGGCCTCTGCCTGGGATGGGACTACATGTAGAGGAAAAGGTGGCTTGGGTTGAAGAAAAATGGAGGGGCAGGGGTGACTCTTGGAAGGTGACTGTGGGCCTATTATAAGGGGAGACACCATTGTGAATCATAAAATTTGGCACTGCACTTTTAAAAATGGATTAATGAATAGTTCCATAATTGCACATTGGTTTTTCTGCCAGGAAAAAAAAAAGGTGGCAAAGAGGACATTTTTGGGGGGTGGAAGGATATGAGAGGGTTGCAGCAGGGGTGATATGCTCCCGGTTCGGACCGGATTGCCCGATCCGGTAGCGATGCCTGCGGGTGGTTCGGAGAACTGATAACAAACATCCCTGCGGCCCTCCTTCCATGCCCAGCCGAGCCACGCAATCATCAGAGGCTTTTTAAAAAAAAATTTAAAAGCATTTTTTCTACAACCTCTCTGGCCGAAAAAAATGCTTTTAAAAGTAAAAAAAAAGCCTCTGATGATCACTCAGCTCAGCTGGGATCATCAGAGGCTTTTAAAAGCATTTTTTCTACAACCTCTTCGGTTGAAGAGGTTGTAGAAAAAATGTTTTTAAAAGAAAAAAAGCCTCTGCCAATCCCAACTGAGTTGCCTGATTGGCAGAGGCTTTTTTTCTTTTAAAAGCCTCTGATGAATCCCAGCTGAATTGCCTGATCGACAGAGGCTTTTAAAAGCATTTTTTTTACAACCTCTTCGGCCGAAGAGGTTGTAGAAAAAATGGTTTTAAAAGTAAAAAAAAAAAAAGTTGGCCACGCCCACCTAGTCACATTACCCCCACCTCACCAAGCCACACCTACAGAACCGGTAGTAACAAATTTTACATTTCATCACTGGGTTGCAGGGTTTTCCCTCCTCTGTTCTGACTTCCCTGCACCCCTTCTTTTTAACTAGGAGGACAGTCTTCCACTCTTCCCCCATTCCATCCGCCCATCCAGCGTCTAGATGGTGGGACGGTCCTTGAGACCTCCGAAGCCACAGCCACTGGCCCCTCCCCGTTGACCACCGCTGCCCCTCCCACTGGCTTCCTACTCACCACCCCTCCAGCTTCAACGGCGGCTGCTCCACCCCGGTTGCCCCCTCCACCAGACGAGGTCGGTTCTGCCAACCACCCTATCTCGGCCACCACTACCGCCTTCATCCCCGAAGGTGACGAAGAGACGACGACCACCCTGATTACTACGACGACTATCACAACCGTTCACACGCCTGGTAAGTGATATGAGTGAGATGCAAAGGTTTTGGACGTGGACGTAAGCCTTCTCCAACCTGATTCTCTCCCATTACTTGCCCCAGCTCCTGCCCACCTAGCAGTTCGAAAGCGTGCAAATGCGAGTAGATAAAAAGGTACCATTTCAGCGGGAAGATAACAGCGTTCCATGCGCCTCGGCCTATAGTCATAATGACCACATGACCACCATGTGGTCTTCAGACAATGCTGTCTCCCTTGGCTAAGAAATGTAGATGAGCACTGCCCTCTGGACTCAGACACGGCTGGACATCGGGAAACCGTTACCTTTATCATTCCCCAGCCCAAAAAATCTGGCTGACCCATATGGAGTCACCAAATAGTGGTAGGCTGAACCTGGTTGAAAAAATATGGATCATCCTGGACTAAACTGACTTCAGTCTTCTTTGTCTCCTTTCTTGCCTCCTTTGCCAAGTGCTTTGCAATAACAACATTACCGACATAGAAGGCTACGTTGAATCCCCCGATTACGCTGGCACTACCTTTTACGGAGGCTTGGATTGCACTTACACAATTTCAGTGTATATGGGCTACGGGATAGAAGTACAGGTAAGATGATATGAATGGGTCAGCACTGAAGAACTACAGTATGCCTGACATTGGGAAACATGTGCAATGAAATTTCATTTCAATATATGCTGATTAGCGTCCATTCAAAGTGACAATAAAGTTATTCTAAGTCTAAAAAGACATGTGGATTAATCATTTTTTCCCCCCAAAAGTGTTTGGAAGGTGACAAAGAATTAGCGATAGCTGACCACATTACAGGTAGTCCTTGACTTACAACTGTTCGTTAGTGACCGTTACAACGGCAGTGAAAAAAAGTGACTTAACAACCGGTCCTTACACTTATGACCGTTGCAGCATCCCACGTTCACATGACCAAAATTTGGGTGCTTAGCAACTGGCAAGTATTTACAACTCTCGCCGTGTCCTGGGGTTGTAGTGACCACTGTTTGCAAGCTTCCCAGCTGACTTCTGACAAGCAGAGTCAACGGGGAAGCTAGATTTGCTTAACAACCACATGATTCACTTAACAACTGAAGTGCTTCGCTTAACAACCATAGCAAAAGGTCATAAAATTGTGTGTGGCTCACTTAACAACCATCTTGAAATTCTGACCCCAATTGTGATTGTAAGTTGAGCACTACCTGTATGCTTTAGTGAGGAAGCAGGAGCATAGCACTTCCCTGCTGTTTGGAAAAGCTGTCTGTTTCAGGCTTCTTTGCCTGGCTATTAAAAAAAAAAAAGATGCTGTTGCTTTAAGAGTTGCGTTCATTTTAGTGAATGGGTTCTTTAAAAGCAGCATCCTCTTTTTTTTCCTTTTTTTCCCCAGGGTTCCACTGAAGCTTAAAGGCTTAAAGCTGTTTTAAGAAACACCAAAGTGATATTGTGGTTGTTCAAGAATCAAAGGACTTTGGAAACATTTCTAAAGCTCTGTCCATTAGATGAATATTTGGTTCAAGTCCTCTTTTCCAGATGTGCTTCTCCTTGTCGCCTCCCTTCCCCAATAATTTTCATGATAATATTTGCTCTTAAGTTTAGATTCTTGAACAATATTAAAAATATGTGACGCTTAAAAAAGGGGTGGCCGTCTTCTTAACCTTCTCCCTCCCTTTGTCAACTTCCATGACTTCCAGGTGCAGACTCTGAACTTGTCCAAGGAGGATTCACTGACAGTGGAAGGTCTGGGTGGGGAGAAGCCTGTTGTCTTGGCCAATGAGTCATTGATGGTTGAGGGGCAAGTGATCCGTAGCCCAACCAATCAGGTCCTGATTCATTTCCAGAGCTACCACACCACCACCCCTGGTGTCTTCAGATTCCACTACCAAGGTAAGGCATGAATACCTCCTCATCCCACCTTCTTTTAAAGGACCTTTCCCTGTTTAGTCCTCCGCAAATGGTTGAGATTCCTACTCAAAACCTTCCAGGATGATTATGGGTGCCTAGACTGCATGTTATGGGAAGCATATCCCAAAGGTGCTTTTTCAAGAGGCAACTGGATTTCCTTTGTTTTTCCTTGAGGACATTTCGCTTCTCATCCCAGAAGCTTCTTCAGTTCTGTCCTCAGACATCAGAACTGAAGAAGCTTCTTGGATGAGAAGCGAAATGTCTTCAAAGAAAAACCAGAAAGTCCAGTTGCCTCTTTGAAAAGCACCTTTGGGATAGCTAGGACGTGGATGACTGAGAATCTCCATAGACATACAGGAAGCATAGTTCCATATCTAGATAAGATAAGAAGGAATTTCTCACCCTTTGAGCAGTGGGAGATTTTCCCAGTAGCTGAGGACCAAGAAAGCAACAAGACAGAGGATTATAATTATTTTTTCTGGATTGTGCTTAGTATTCTAGCACCTGTGTCACAAAGCCAGACTTAACAAAAGCTGATTCTCACTGGGCTTATTCAGAACAAAAGTGGAAATTTATTTATTTATCTATTTATTTATTTATTGAATTTATATTGCTGCCTATTCATGGGAATTTATTTATTTATTTATTTATTTAACCACCTATTTGCCCATGGAGTCTCAAGGCAGTTTACAGAATATAAAGCCACATTTAAAACAATAAAAATTAACAAAAAGAATCAAATAAATTAATACAGTACAATATAACAAAATTACCTCCCACCCCCCACCCCCCGCTCTGGCAACAGCAGATCACACGAGCCATTTAATGGGCTCCATCCCGCTCTGGGTTCCCCAGGCCCGCTGGCAGAACCAGGTCTTCAGCGCCTTCCGGAAGAGTATTAGAGTGGGGGCCATTCTAATTTCTGGGGGAATGATGTTTCAGAGAGAGGGAGCCCACCACGGAGGAGGCTTCTGGGTCCCAGCTGTATCTCCCTCAGGGATGGGACCCGCAACATTTCCTGCCTCCCCGCTCCGATAGGTCAGTAGATATGACCGGCAAGACCAACGTTCACATAGTGAAGAAAGTGAAATATTTGGGTATGCAATTAACTTCAAGGTGTATAACGGTGAAAGAAGATAATTATTATAAACTGAGAAATCAAATTGAAATAGACTTGGAAAAATGGAAAAATCTGCAATTATCACTAATAGGAAGAATAGTGTTAATTAAAATGAATATACTACCAAGAATCTTGTTTTTTTTTTTTTTTCAAACAATACCGATAAAGTTGGAGAAAAAATATTTTGAGAATTTGAACAAAATGATGTGGAAATATGTATGGCAAAGGAAAAAAGCAAGAATTAAACTTAAACTGCTTCAAGATTCTAGAATTAGGGGCGGGTTTGACTACCAAATTGGGAACTATACTATCAAGTGGCGACGTTAACCTGGGTTAAAGAATGGATTTTATTGAGAAATACGAGAATATTAACTCTGGAAGGACATGATTTGCAACTAGGGTGGCACACTTTTCTTTGGTATGGAAAAAATAGGATACATGGGTATTTTTAGAGACATTATATAAGGAAAGGTTTGCTAACATCATCGGAAACAGTGGAAGAAAGACAATACATGAAGATACCAAAGTGGCTTTCAACAATAGAAGCTTTGACACATTCAAATATGATTAACAGGAAAAATATTGTAAGATATAAGAATATTTTAACAGAGAAGGAAGAACTAAAACAGAGATAAGTACTAAAAAACCAAGGGATTGAGACAGATTGGTATACACGACTGCAAATACAATCAAGATATGATAAAGATTTGAAACAATATGGTTTTAATTTGGAAAAATCAGAATTGGATGAGATATTGACTGGGACAGATGAAAAAATGATTAAGAAATTGTATAATTACTTATTGCAAATCAGATTAGAAGAGAAAGAAGTAAAAGAGACAATGATAGCATGGGCAAAAAACTTTGGCTATACGATAGAACTAGAGAGATGGCAACAACTATGGGAAAGAAATGATAAATTAACAATGGTAACTGCATATAAAGAACATTTATATAAAATGTTTTATAGATGGCATATGTCACCAGAAAGATAAGCAAAAATGTTTAAGGATAAATCAGCTAAATGTTGGAAATGTTTTCAATTGCCGGGATCATATTATAATATGTAGTGGACATGTATGGAAGCAAAAAATTATTGGGTTAGAATACAGGCATGGTTAGAGGAAATGTTGCACCAATGTATAGAGTTAAAACCAGAGGCATTTTTATTGGGTAAATTACCGGAGAAATATAGCAAAGACATATTTGATTATTCATATAATAACAGCGGCGATAATTGTATTTGCACAAAAGTGGAAGACAGAAAAAATCCCATCAGAAGGAGAGGTAATAAAGAAGATTTTAGAATGTACAGAAATGAATAGGTTAACATTGAGAATAAAAGATGGCATGGCATGGGCCCGGGGTACTTGCAGGATCACCTCCTACCAGCCTCCCACCGCCCAGTGTGCTCACATAGGGCTGCCCTCCTCTGGGTGCCGTCGGCCAGACAATGTCGGCTGACGGCGCCAAGGATGAGGACGTTCTCTGTGGCTGCACCAACCCTCTGGAACGAGTTACCCACCGAGCTCCGGACAGCCCTTGATCTCCGTTCCTTCCGCAAAGACCTGAAGACATGGCTTTTTAAGCCAATTGTCTGATTCTATTTTGGGAGTTTTAATTAATTGTGGGATTTTAATTGAATCTTTTAATCTTATTTATTATTGCTGTTTTATTGTGATTTTACTGTTGTGAGCCGCCCCGAGTCCTTCGGGAGAAGGGTGGCATATAAATTTTAATAAAATAAATAAATATAAATAAAAAGATAAAGAGGAATCGGTGTATTTCAAGACATGGGGATGATTTTATATATGGTTAGAAAAGAAATATGAATAAAAGATTATAGAGAAATAAATTAGATAAGGTATGAGTAAATGAGAGAGAAGACAAAAAAGAAATAGAAACCCAGAAGACACCTGTGTAAATGGAACAGGGGAAAGGGAGGGTGGAGAAAGAAAATGTTATTATATAAATGTACATTTATGATGATATGTGTGAATTTAGTAAAATGAAAAAGTAATTGAAAAGAAAATAAAAAACCGGGATTGCTAGAATACCACTTTGGAAAATACTAAATTGAAAATGAATACAACAGTAGAAAGAGAATGGAGAGGGATAGAGGAGAAAAGAGAAGAAGGAGAGAGAGGGAAAGAAGAAAGAGAAAAGGAGAGGAAGAGAGGGGAAACAAGAGTAGGAGAGAAGATTAGAAGGGAGGAAGAAGGGAGGTGTGGGGGAAAGGAAGGGGAAGGAGAGAAGGAGAAGGAGAGGAAGAAAGAAGAAAGTAGGAGAGTAGATGGAAGAAGGGAGGGAAAGGAAAGAGAAGAGAGGGAGAAGAAGGATTGCTGTAAAATAAGGGAGATGAAATGGTAGAAGAGCAACCCCAAATATACTTAAATTGTTTAGGATGAAAATTGTATTAGTATGAAAGCAAAAGAAAATATGAATGTTAGATAAAAACTGTACATTTAAGATATGTTTATGAGGGGAAAAAAACTTTTTTTTTAAAAAAATGATATGACCGGCAAGAGATGGTCCCTCAGATAACCTTGTCTCAAGCCATGACATTATGATATCCCTATCTCGACACTATACATGTTTCATGTATTATTAGGATAGATTGGTTTGTCTCAGTGTGGTTCTACCCAACTGCATGTACATTTCTCTAAATCCAGGCTGCTGTACGTGTTATGTATGTAGATTTTGGGCGGGCAGTTTGAATTAACTGACCGTCAGCTGATTGGCTGACCACCACGGCTGCAAGGTATATAAAGGGAGCTGTTTCCCGTGGTCAGCCACTGGGTTCTCACCATACAATAAAGAGCTGTTGTCACTCATTGCCTGGCTTGCTGCGTCCTCATTCACCCAACTTATCATTGGCGACGAAGGTGGGATTTTGAGGCCAGAAGCCACGGAAAGAGCTGAAGCCACATGCCGACAAGAGAGCTACAAACGGAATCCAGCCAGGCGAGCGAGTGGAGCACTGGGAAATCTACCGAAGATGTCTACATATGTGCCGCCAGCACCTTTCAACCCCGCAGAAGAGAAGTGGGGATCCCACATGTCCCGCTTCGAATGCTTCCTCGTAGCCAGCGACCAGCAAGGGCTGCCCGACGTACGGAAAAAAGCCCTGTTCCTGAGCCACTGTGGAGCCAAAGTGTTCGATATGGCCGAGGCCCTGTCGGAACCGAATTCAGTTCATACCATCTCGTGGCAGATGCTTCAGACACTACTGAAGGACCACTATGCCCCAACGCCATCAAAGTACGTCCAATGATTCGACTTCCGGCAATGGCTACAGCAGGAGGGAGAATCGATCAGCGAGTATGTCGCTGCCCTGCGTAAGGCCGCAATCCAGTGTGAGTACAGTGACCTTGATGAGATGTTACTAGAGCAACTAATCTATGGAGTGAGAGATATTTGCTTGCAGAGGAGGTTGCTCGCAAAGACGAATCTCACGCTACACATCGTACTGGACGAGGCGAGGGCTCAAGAATCCTCATCCAAGGCAGCCGAGAGACTACAGGGGACGACGCAGAGCAGGACGGCACAGAAGTCAACCCCGGTTCACCAGGAAACTGTAGGGACAGAAAGCGAGAGGGAGTCAAATGTAGAGGTCTACAGGACCAAACAGTACCGGCAGAACCGGCGAGGTCAACGAGATGCCTGTGCGAGTTGTGGGAGACCCCATCCGCGCCAGACCTGCAAGTTCCGAGACGCCATTTGCCAGCAATGCAAGCGGAAGGGGCACATCGCCAGAGTCTGCAGAGCCAAGCAAAACCACCACTACAAGCTGCAGAGCAACGCGAGCCAATTAGAGATGGCGCAGCGGACAAGAACCAATCAGAAGGGCGGCTACTGGAGAAGCGCAAAATCTGAGGATCTCAAGGCCTGCATCATCTGAATCGGCCGGACCTGCACATCCCCCGGGGAGAAGACCTACACAACAGTCGGCATCGAGGGGCAGAAGTGTGTAATGGAGATCGATACCGGATCCCCCATTACCATCATGTCCTGGGACAAGCTAAAGAAGGCCATCCCCAGCATCCAGAGACGGCAACTACGGCACCAGCGGCTGGGACTGCATGATTACCAAGGGAACCACATCCCCGTGGAAGAAATCGGCGAGTTTCAGGTGGAGTATGGGGAATTCCGGGAGAAGCTTCCCCTCACCGTCGTCAGCGGAAAGCTCCCAAGCCTCCTGGGTATGGACTGGTTCAGAGCCCTGGGCATGATTCACCGGAGTCCGCAACCTGTGAAGCACCCTGAAGGACGACCTGATGCAAGAGTTCCAGGACGTGTTCGACGAGCGGCTCGGCAAGTATGTGGGGACCCCTATCTCATTCAACCTCGACCCCAACATTGCCCCCATCAGGCGGAAACCAAGGAGGGTACCTTTCGCTCTAAAGCCCAAGATTGACGTGGAGTTGGACAAATTGATAAAGCAGGGGGTGTTAGAGCCAGTCGATCATGCTCGGTGGGAGACCCCAATTGTGACCCCCGTTAAGCCAGACGGGTCTGTTTGCATCTGCGCTGACTACAAATGTACGATCAACAAGGCCCTGCAGCAGAGCGCCTATCCAGTTCCGATTGTACATCACCTTCTGCATTCCCTAGGGCCAGGCAAGATCTTTGCGAAACTCAATCTTGCGCAGGCATACCAGCAGCTGCCGGTAGATGGCACTACCACAGAGGCACAAACTATAGTAACGCATAGAAGTGCCTTCAAGTGTACCAGACTCCAATTCGGAGTCAGCAAAGCTCCAGGACTATTCCAGAGCACCATGGAGCGACTGCTACAGGGGATCCCCAGGGTGGTCCTGTATTTCGATGATGTGCTCATCACTGCAGAAGATGAACAGCAGCTAGGGGAGAGGCTGAGACAAGTCCTAGGGAAATTCAGGAGTGCAGGACTCAGGGTCAAGCGCAACAAATGCATGATGGCAGTGCCTTCCGTGGAGTTCTTGGGGTACCGGGTAGACGGAGCCGGCATACACCCCACCGGAAGCAAGATTAGGGCAATCCGAGAGGCCCCCATCCCCAAAGACAAGGCGGAACTACAAGCATTCCTGGGACTATTGAACTTTTACGCAATTTTTCTAAGGGACAAGGCAACGGTAGCGGAGCCCCTACACAGACTGTTGGCCAAAAAGTCCAAATGGGTTTGGGGGAAGGCTGAAGCTACAGTGTTTGCTGCTGTAAAAAAACTCCTGTCGGCCGAGAGTTTCCTAATTCAATACAATTCTACGCTTCCCTTAGTGCTAATCTGTGACGCGTCTCCCTTCGGCGTGGGGGCCATCCTGAGCCATAGACTACCGAACGGTCTAGAGGCACCCATCGCCTACTACTCCTGGACTCTTTCAAGCGCCGAATGGAACTACAATCAACTTGACAAAGAGGCCCTGGCAGCTGTCTCAGGAATCAAGAAGTTCCACGAATACCTGTTTGGCAGAGACTTCTGAACTCATCACAGACCATCGCCCCCTCCTGGGTCTCATCACAGGGGACCGACCCACCCCGGCAGCCCTATCTCCCAGGATGACACACTGGGCCATCTTCCTGGCAGCATACTCCTATCGCCTGGTACATCGATCAGGGGTGAGCATGGGCAACGCCGATGCCCTCAGCCGTTGCCCGTTACCGGACAGGATAGAGGACCCCACACCTGGGATTCCAGTCCTGCTAATTGATGTCTTGGACTCGGGACCCATCACTTCAGCAGAGGTAGCGAGAGCCTCAACCAGAGACCACGTGATTAGGAAAGTCACGAGTTGGGTCACGAGGGGGTGGCCGGAAAAGTCTGAGAGCAGGGAATTCAAACATTTCGCTAACAAAAAGGGCGAGCTAACAATGCAAGGGGGTTGTCTTTTGTGGGGCGATCGGATTGTTGTTCCCTTGTGCCTAAGGGAAAAAGTTTTAAAGCTATTGAATGAGGGGTACCCAGGATTGTAAGGATGAAGGGGTTAGCTAGGAGTTACGTATGGTGGCTCCTAACGACATCACTGAGTGGGTGGGGAAGTGCCAACCCTTTCAAGAATCTAGACCAGACCCCCCCACAGGACCGGTCAGGGAATGGGAACGGCCCCAGGATCCCTGGTCTAGGATCCACATAGACTTCGCTGGCCCATTCCATGGGCAGGTATTTATGGTCGTAGTGGATGCCTTCTTGAAGTGGTTGGAAATCAGACTCATGAAAACCACTACCACCGACGCTTCATTAGGGAGCTAAGGCAGTTGTTCGCCACCCATGGCCTACCGGACATCTTAGTCTGAGTTAACAGGCCCCAGTTCACAGCCATGCAGTTTGAGGGGTACCTAGCAGAGTTGGGGATCAGACACGTCCTCTCCGCCCCGTTTCATCCAGCTAGTAATGGATTGGCGGAGAGATTTGTGAGAACAGCTAAGGAAGCCATCTCACACCTAGGCCCCGGGGACTGGCAGGAGAAGATAGATAAATTCTTAATGGCCCAACACACCACACCATGCACCGCCACAGGCAGGAGCCAGGCGGAACTTCTAATGGGAAGAAAGCTCAGAGGAGTCCTAGACAGGCTACACCCCAGTTATTCTCCTGACAGCTTTAGAGGGGCAGAGAAAAGGCTTAAGGAGTTCACAGTAGGGACACCAGTGTTCGCTAGAAATTACAGGAATGGGCCCCTCTGGGAAACTGGGACAATCACAGAGGTAACAGGGCCCAAGTCATATAGAGTAGACATGGGAGATGGGAGGATTTGGCGCCGACACATTGACCAGCTACGGAAGCGTTGGGCCAACATAGAAGACGCATTCAACGAACCACTCCCTAGCTACCAACAGAACTCTTGAACTAACTCAAACCCGAGTCTAGCGGAGGACTTAGCTGACGGCCCCGAGATCCAGCGCTGCCCCATCGCGGAAGATCGACCAGCTGCAGAAGTCGCCGCCCACAACGAATTCTCGGAGGTTCCATTGGTGGAGCAGGGAGAAACAGGGAGTTCCTCCGACCTGCTCGACGCCACACCTCCGACTGAACTGCGCAGGTCAACTAGGGTGCGGACACGCCCTGGTCACCTGAGAGACTTTGTATGCTAATGTCCACCCCAAGTGACTTCTGGGAGGGGAGGGGTGTTATGTATGTAGATTTTGGGCGGGCAGTTTGAATTAACTGACCGTCAGCTGATTGGCCGACCACCACAGCTGCAAGGTATATAAAGGGAGCTGTTTCCCCTGGTCAGTCGCTGGGTTCTCACCATACAATAAAGAGCTGTTGTCACTCATTGCCTGGCTTGCTGCGTCCTCATTCACCCAACTTAACAGAACGTATGCATGATATAGGGTGGGAGCCCCCCCAAAGCAAAGCAAATGAGACACATAATATGATTTACCAGAAGCTCTTTTCCTTAGATGTGATCTAATCCCAGAAGCACTGGAAAGAAATCTCTTGAGGATGATGGCAGTGGGTTTAACAAGGGTTTATCTGCCTTACAGCTTGACTAATTTACATAAGAGTGAAAGAAAACCCCTTTCGTAAATCCAAATCAGAAGGAACCATACCTCACTTTAAAAAAAAGAAGAAAGCCAATAAACCCATTTACAAATTAAAAATATACACACCCAATGATATTCAGAGTAGATGAGAACTTCTTCGGGTCCATCATATCCTATGATACAAATTCAGTGTGCATTTTGTGTGTTAAAAAGACTATCTGAGGCAGTGAGCGTACCGAAAATGAACAAAAAGCCTATTAACTGTTGTCTAGGTGTACAAATATTTACCAAGTACTGGCAGAATTGAGCATGTTCCTTTATGAATGCATATCATTTGTTGAAGGCACTTTGTGAGCATAATTACTTGTTATGTTTCCTTGTCTATAACCTTCCTATCTCTCAACCCCAGCTTTCCTGCTCAGCTGTGGCTTCCCCAGTAGGCCAGAAAATGGGGATGTCATGGTAACTGATCTCCATCCGGGGGGCTCTGCCACTTTCAAATGTGAGTCAGGCTTCCAGTTGAGAGGTGAAGAGATACTCATTTGCCTCAATGTCAGCAGCCCTCGGTGGAGTGGCACCAGCCCTGCGTGTGTGGGTGAGTGAAGGAATAAAATGAACAAGAAAATGCAGCCTTGTTAAAAGATTGGAGTGGTAATGGACAAAAGGGAGAAGATTTTAAAGCTTTTTGAATCCCAGGGGCAGAACATTTTTTCGAGAACACTTTCTTCCTTCATTGTATGACGAAGTATTTTTGGGTGCATTTTTTTAAATCCACTGATACCAATGGCCCAGTTAATGGGGCTATGAGTGGAACTTCAAAATACCATAATAATTGTCTGAATTATGTATGTGTCCACACATACAAATATACGTCTTCTTAAGTTTTCGTGGGTGTGTGTATGTAAAAAGTTAAAATCTCGGGTGTTTTCCCACGTCATTATAAGTTTGTTAGTTAAAATGTTTAAAATCCTGGCTAAGATAGGATTTTTGAAAGACCTTAAAAAGGTTTTTGTTTGGGAATTTAGAGGATTCTGAGCTGTGATCTTAGCCAGGATTTTAAACATTTTAATTAACAAACTTATAATGATGCGGGAAAGCACCTGAGATTTTAACTTTTTACATACATATATACATATATACATACATATACATACATACATACATATAAAGTGTTTTTCTATCGAGGCACCTGGTCTACCCCAACATGTGGGAGGGAGCATACTGCATCCCTTTTGCCTTTCAACTCCAATCCAGGAGCCCTTAAGCAGTCGCATTCACGACAAACCATTTTACACCAAATTTATATTTCGCTGATAAAGAAATATATATATATTTAATGGATGAGTTTTCCGTTAATCAAAAATATCCATCTGGCTGTTTGAAAGGTGCTTTCTCAAGAGGCAACTGGACTTTCTGGATTTTCTTTGAAGATGTTTCTCGCTTCTCATCCAAGAACTGGGTGAGAAGTGAAATGTCTTCAAAGTAAAACCAGAAAGTCCAGTTGCCTCCTGAGAAAGCATCTTTGGGACAACCATGACTTGGATGACTGAGAATCTCCATAGACATTTATCCATTTGGCTGTTGGTCTCAAATACTGAATGATCATTTGGAGGCTAAGAATTCTTTGGTCCAGCAGGGGATTGATTTAAGAGTTTGCTATTGAAGAATAGAGAATCATTTCGTTTTCTTTTGCCGTTCATAATACTGACAGATGAATTTTGTTTCCTCCATTCTGTGGAGTTAAAGTGTAAAGATTTATATGGTTATGAATGATGCAAGAACAAAGCAAATAACACTTTTTCCTCTAAATGTTAAAACCAGGCAGTTACACAATGAACAGATTGCCAATATGTTCAGAATTAAAATGTTTCTTTGCAGAATGCATAATTTATTGTTGCAAGGTGCAGGGATGATAGTAACTCGATAGCTTTAGAAAGACATAAAATTAGACAAATTAACAGCGGAGAAAGCCTCAGTAGCTATTTTGTCATTAGAATGGAAGCTTTATATTTAGAGGTATTATCCCTCTGATTGCCAGACATTCTGGGCAAACACCCAAGGCTTTACACAGTAATATCTTTCGACTGATTTTCTAAGAGTGTTTAACTGGCCTCAGTTTGAAGAATAATGTTGGGCAAAATAAGTCTTTCAATAATGCTCAATTTTTCCTGTAAGTTTGGACTCCTTGAACAATTGCAAATGCTCCAAAAAAAAAAAAAAAATGTCCAAACTATAGATCCAGGATCCTTGGGGTTTAAATTTAAATTTTCCTGAAAGCTACGGAATCCTAGTCAATCCAAGACATCTATGACAAGGGAAAACTGTGACTTTTATATTCTTCGCCAATCACATGAAAATGTATCTTGGCTAGGAGTGATAAACATAATAGCCCAAAACATATTTGCAGAGAATGAGGACCTTAATGATATTTAGTAAAAAAAATTTGTAAAATGGCTTTGAACTCCAAAAGGCAATATTAAACTAAGGAACCTGGGAAGTGTCAGGAGTTGGATTAGCCAGGGATTCAGGATATTACCTTGGGTAAAACTTAGTTTATGAGTCTGAAGGACTTTTCTAAGGATGCATGAAATGTTAAGCAGAATTCTGGATTTGAAGAATTCTAGGGGAAAACGGGACTTGTAAAGAACATCTGGCCTTCCTCCTCTTAGCTTCTTGTGGAGGAACAGTTCACAATGCCACTCGTGGACGCATTGTGGCTCCGGAGGCCCCAGGAGGACCACGTGGTCGGAACCTGACCTGCCGTTGGTTGGTAGAAGCACCTGAAGGCCAGAGACTCCATCTACACTTTGAAAGAGTGGCACTGGATGAGGATAATGACAAGTGAGAAAATGGGAAAATGGGGATGAGGGGGTGAGAAGATGGAAAATTGACAGGCAATCAAGCCAGGGGTGAAATCTACTTACCTTCCCTACCGGTTCGGAAGTGCATGCGCCATGTGCAATTTTGGACCCCCTGCACATGTGCAAAGCTTTCTGTGCATACACAGAGGGTAAAAAACAGGTTGCTTCCTGATTAAAAAGTCCAGGTGGGTGGGCGGAGCATCACGCTGCCACCGCTACCGGTTCTCCAAACCATCCACTGCCGCTGCTACCGGTTTGCCTGAAGCAGTGCGAACCGGTAGCATTTCACCCCTGAATCAAGCATGCCGTGGAGTGGGAGTGGAGAAGGAGGAAGAGAAGAGAGAAGATGGGGAGGCATCAGCTGATGACAAGCAGGAACAGTTGAGATATATTTCAGAAAATGTCAAGAACCTTGCCTGGTGCAGGGATGAGGGATGAGAGCAACAATCAGTGTGGGACATAGAAACAACAGGAGGAAAAAACAGGAGGAGAAAGATATTTTTGTACTGCTCACAAAAATACGATGGACTCTCATGAAACACTTAAAGTAGAGAAGTCCAAAGGAATTTAGAACTGTCTTTGGAGAAGGGATGAGTGAAATGTTAAGGAGAAACTTGGACAAGAGATTACAACAGCTTTACCTTCATTTGGCTGAAGTGAGAAATTTGGACAAGTTTTCAAGTTTGAAGCCAGCCTTTCACAACTAGGACACCGCTGAGATTTTATTGTTAGAGGCTATAATAACAGAATCTTGCATTACGTAATCTCTTATCTGAATCCGTTACTGTCCACTCATGCCTTTCCCGAGGTTTACTCAAAATTCGTTTACGCAGAGTATGTCATGTACCCTCAGTTGGGGAAATCTGCTTACCCAAATCCTTTCCCTTTCCCAGGCTGATGATCCGCAGTGGGAGTAGCACTTTCTCCCCTATCATTTATGATTCTGACATGGATGATGTCCCAGAACGGGGATTGCTAAGTGATGCTCAGTCTCTCATTGTTGAATTGATCAGCGAGGGACCTGCTACACCCCTCATCCTTAGCCTGCGCTACGAAGGTGAGAATGTAATCTTTTCCCTCCTTCCCCATATTTTACCTGCTCAGAAATGGTAGAGGCAAGAAAACATGATGTTATCTTCTCTCTTGGCAGTAGATTCTGATAGTTGCTATTGGGAACTTTGGGAACTCATCAAATCAAACAAGCATAATGATATGCAACACTGTTGTGAGCGAAGTGTTGGAAGCTTATTTTAATAAACAAAATTCTGCTTTGTCATTTAGGGTTGGATAAATTACTAGTGTGCAGCAATGAGGCCTCAGGGCACTGATAGGCTAAACTGTTATGGTGCTACAGAATATATAGCGGTTCTGAGAACTCATTGGTTTCATTCCAGATTCTGTCAAGAAAAGAGAAGTTTTCAGTGTGGTTAGGACAAAAAATGGGATTGAGACATAATAATAATAACTTTATTGCCATTGTATACCCATACAATGAAATTCACTTAACATCCAAAGTCCAGGTCCAACACACATAACAATCCCCAAACATACTCCCACCCATCACAATTCTCCACCCTTAAACCACCCAAACATCCACACAACAGACCAAGTAATGCTGTCCAACAGCTCACTGATGGTGGCCCTTTAGTTCATTGTTGAGTGCAATTATAGCTCTGGGATAAAAATTATCCAGAAAAAGTGTGGTCTGAGTTTTAATTTAATTTAAATTTAATTTAATTTAAAAAAAAGCAAAGAAGCAAAGAGTCCACAAGGAAGGATATAAGAGGAAGGCTGGAGAATGGGAAAGACAGGAACTTCAGCAGAAGGTAGGAGGCAGGGAAGTGAGACAAGAAAGAGGTCATCAGAGAGAAAGGCTGGGGGTAGCTGGAGGGAGAAATGAGTTTAAGTAACATTGATTCAGGACTTGAACACATGTCCCAGAAGGGTAGGCTGAAGGAATAGGGAAGATAAGTGTGCAGAAAAGAAGACTGGGGAAGATTAGATGACCCAAAAGTATTTTCCATGGTCAAAGAAACTAGCACCAGATATAATAAGTTGTAGCTGGATAGATTCTGTTTAAATGAAAAAAAGAACTTCCTAGTAGCTAAAGTGGCTGGGGAATTCTGGAAGTTGAAGTCCATACATCTTCAAATTGCTTAGATTGAGAAACAGAAGAACCAGATTGTTATCAGAAGAAGCAGCGGGTTAGAGCTGGTTTTTCTTCAAATCACCTAAATATTGAGGGAAGAAAGATGATAAAGTTTGAGAAAGCAACGTTAGCAGGAAAGAAGTGATCAGATATAGAAGGTTGCTGAATGGATACAAAACTTTAGACAAGGAATTAGGTGCAAATCTTCTTGTGATTTGACCGAGATGTAGTAATGTTGTAGTTGAATGTACGGTATATACCTTGTCAACAAAAGAGGTAGGGTTGATCCCAACTTCAAGGAGATATTACTGTAATACTTCACTGCAATGGGAGAGATCAGAAGCTATAACCTTTATAGGGGCAGTTTTCTGACTTTTTGCTCCCCCTGGTGGCAGCTTTTGATGAAGATCGATGTTATGAACCATTCCTGGCCCATGGAAATTTCAGCACATCAGACCCTCTGTATCGTACAGGGACCATTGTAGAGTTTGCTTGCAGTGCAGGATACATGCTTGAGCAGGGTCCTTCGGCCATTGAATGCATTGACTCAAGAGACCCCCGCTGGAACGAAAGCGAGCCCACCTGCAAAGGTAATCATTCTTCACCTCAAACTCTCCACTCAATTTTCTTATGGAGCCTGATGCGTAATGTCTTTTCTCCTTGATTGCTCTTTTGTGTTTCTGTCCTGCTGCTTGAAAGACTAATGGGGCATGCTGATGGGGCACAACAGGCCTGAACAAATTACTGCTATACACTGGGTTTTACGAACTCAGGCACATGTTTGCACAGGTGAGCAAACTGGGGCAGAGACAGAAGCCAACATGATAGGAAGGAGAGGGGAGTAGTGGCAGAGTATGGATCTGCCATGATCTGTACAAAGTCTGGAAATTAAAATGGGACAGGTGCAGATCTAAAAACACCATTTTACAAGCAAGAACATTGCATGATCTAGAAAGCTTATTTGCATAGGGCTGAACGGTACTGGAAGCAGACAGTCACATTAACTGGGTTATAGAGTTACTAGAGTCTCACTTATTTCCTTCAGAAAGGAACTGATATCCTGTATCAGGATACTACTGAGAAGGCTAAATGATCTCACTATGACTATCCCCTTCAACATTGATCAGAAGAAGGCTCAATTACACTAGTGTTTGGAAAGTATATTCTGAGACCTTGGCTGAGTATGGGAAGGTGGTTACTCTCTCTTTTTCTTTCTCTTTCTCTTTCTCTCTCTCTCCCTCTCCCTCTCCCTCTCTCTACCTCGTTTTCTTTTTGGAGGACTACAGATACATACCAGGCTAGATGATTGGACTTAAGTATTCTTACAACACAACTGACTGGTTTAACTCTGAGTGCCTGGCTTTGTTTATTACTAAATTTAACCTCTTAGCCTAGGGCATAGCTCTCTGAGGAATTCTGGAAGTTAAAGTCTACAAATCTTAAAGTTGCCAGGTTTGGAGACCCCTGCACTAGGGGATAGGTGATTAGTTCAGCTGACTTCTTTTTGCTGGTTCTAACAACATAGTACTGTAACACCCCCCCACACACACACTTTGTGGGGCCACTTATTATTTTAATCCAGAAATATAAAATACTTTAACTCTAAGGTAATATGGTCAGAGCCTTCGGTTTCCATCCTATGGACTCAACAATAACCTTTTGAAAAAAATTAGAATGACTTACAAACAACTAGGAATGTGAAGTAATGTAATGCCCCTTCGTGTGTGTGTCCGTCCGTCCCCAATAAAGCAGAAGTGGGACATCTGTGATGCTTCAGATATTGCTGAACCCCAGCAGTGTCAGCAAGAATGGCTAAATGTGCTGTGGAGACTTTCAGCATCTACATGTTTTGAAAACTGGGTTCCATCTTCTACTTGCTCCAGTAGGCAGGACTAAAATATCTCTAAAAATTCCTAGAACAAGAAAGAACACCACTTGTTTTTCCAAGGTATCTTTCTGTTAATTCCAGTTCAGGTCTTTTCTTTAATGGCTGGGGAGCACATGGACACTGGGAGGACGCACGATTCTCCAGGAAGGGAGATCTTCTTTCCTCCATTACAAAACTATCAGTTCCAGCTATGAGCCACATGCCTCTGGAAGGTCCACATTCTCTCCTTCAGGAAGCTGAGGAGCTAGGCAGTTGGACTAGTAGAACCTGGCACGAGTAGGCAGCTGGTTCCCCCTATCACCCATCATGAGGGCACTTCAGTTCAGGAATTCTGGATTGGACACAGCAGGCAACCATTGCTGGGTTTTGATGTCCATCATCAAAGGCCTTCCCATGTGGTGCTGTTATGCTTCAGCCCAGCACCTCAACTCTTGCTATAATGAGGGTGAGAAAACGGACCATCCACTTCCAGTTGCAAAGGTGGACATGGGCCTTCCTCAATCTAGTGAAAGGAAAATGAAATCTTCTCAACGTCCAGTCACTACATCAGATTTGTTTGGGATGAGAGAATGATACAACCTTCTGAATCTCATGTTCAGAAAACATCAACTTCCCTCCGCTGTCTTCATTCTCAAGACATTTAAATACTGTTTTCCTTATGGGGAGCTCACAAGAGTTACCCTGAGTAGCCAGGGGCATCAGGATCTGTGGAAATGCATTATACATTTGCCATTTCTTTTCTTCATGAACATATCTGACATTCACCCCAGTCTTAACTGAATTAGAAGTACAAACTTGGAAGAATCCCAGTGATTTATATGGGATTTGGCAGCCAAATAAATGATGTAGTGTTTTATCTCTTAAATGGGCTTAGTTGTCTTTCATTTGACTTTCATCATGGGGCAAGGGTAGCTTCTTTTGTTAAGATGATACATATTTCTGTTCTGTGGGCCAAGTGACTGGATTTCGTTTTCAGGTCTTTGTGTTGTGACCTCTTTTGAGTTATCTATGCAGACCTGCTACATGGATTCCCCCTCCCCCTATGTTGTCAAAATAATGCTGCAAGTCCTTGCAGAATTCTATTCCCAACCCTCTGAGGGACTTCTTTTTACGTATGTCCCGGTTTTCAGGTTATTCTCTTCCAATGAAAGAAAATGAAACATTGAGAGTCCCTTTCTCTAATATAGATTGAAGATATCCTTTACTCCCTGATCTTTCTTATTCTATCCATTTTGTCTTGCATTTTCTCTGGAGATCCTATTCGCTCCCTTAAGTGGAAGGGCCTGGTAGCTGTGCTGCTATAATCTTTTAGTCCTGCTTTTTGGAACAAGTCGAAGGAACTATCCAGTTTTCAAGATATCCTCGGTCTCTGCAGAAAAAAAAAATGTCTTGGCCACTCTAATATTCTCTTTCTTACTACTGCAGTAACATTTTTCACAGCTACTTGGTGTCATGACCTAGAATCCAATTTCTCATATTTTGATTATTGGGTCATTTTGATAGTCACAGAAAGAGGGAAAGAGAAGAATAAGAAAGCATTGCAACGCAGAGATGAGGAAAGATGGCTGTCACTATCTTTGCTGGGAGGCACATTTTACCTCTCTTAAATTCTGGGGCAGAGGATAGTGTGTGTCTGGGGGAGGGTCAGGAGGTAAAGGGGCTGTTCAGTTTGCCTTTTCCTATTGCTTTTTTTTATAATCCAAAAGAAATGAGGAGTCCTTGGTGCTGTCTGAGTTTGGTTGTTTTCTTGCTGATGTTTCATTATCCAGACTAGACAACATCATCAGAGCTCAGATGTTGTTACAGTGGTACCTTAGTACTTATCATTAATTGGTTCCAGGAGGCATGATGAGTTCCAAAAATGATGAGCACCAAACAATTTTCCCCGTAAGGAATAATGTAGTCAGTCACAAGGCAACCAACACCGACAAGTTCTAGCTTGTACATTGTACCAAACAAACGATGAGTATCAGGACAAAAATTTTCACGCCATAATGCGTTGAGTACCAAATTGGGTGAGTTGCAAAGCAGCTGAGTATCAAGGTACCACTGTACCTAGTTTGGGTAATGAAACATCTGTAAGAAAACAAACAAGCTCAGAGAGCACCAAGGACCCCTCATTTCAACCCTGAACTACAATTATTCTCCTTTAGTGGTACCAAAAGAAATTGGTTTAAAACTAGCTTAAACTGGTTGAGTAGCTGCACTGCTTCATTCAAGCTATAGTCTTCTCCTGATTATGCATCTTTTCTCTCCAGCATTGTGTGGTGGGGAGCTCTCTGAGCCAACAGGTGTTGTTCTTTCTCCTGACTGGCCTCAGTCTTATGGAAAAGGTCAAGACTGCGTATGGGGCATCCGGGTGCAGGAGGAGAAGAGGGTGCTGCTAGACATTGAGATGTAGGTACTTCTGCTACTGCCACCATCAATACCACCCCATTTTCTTGAGGGAGGCCTCCCTACTCAACCAAAGCACTGTGTCCTCATGATCCCTGAAACCATCATCCATCATTAGAGTAATTGTTGAAATCATTCATACCATCAATTCATGGAAAGATGTCTGTGTACTTTGAGGATAATCTGCTGTGACAAATAGGATTCCTACTTAGAGGTCATCAACCAGAATGTTACAGTAAGTTCCCTATATTTATGGAAGGAAGCGTCTGGATGGTGAAACATTTTAAATCTTCAGTGCAAGAAAGAAAAGGCTAGGTTTAATCTAGTATTTATGCCGCTAGATCTAATTATTTTCTGTTCCATAGAACAGAAGTTCAAAGTTAGGCTAAAATGACAGTAGAGGACACGGAATAGAAGGAGGGGATTATTTAAGTTCCCTCTTAGAATCATATCCCTGTCAATGATTCTAAAAATTTAGAGGCACAAGAAAGCTTGTCCAAAGCAGCAAACTGAATTCATATGTTTGTCTACAGTCACATAATAACAGAATCATTCTGGAGAGCCATTAAGTCAAGAGATATACACTCAAGAGTTAGAAAGTTCTCCACAAATCACAGTAACACCAGTATATATATGATATTTTTTTAAAACAAACCCTGAACAACTTTATGCATTTACATGTGGCTAGGCATTAAATATAATGTATTTGTTTGTTATCCCACAACAGCAGTGGTGGGATTCAACCGGTGTAAACAACTGGTTTGCTGAGCACGCGCTTTGCGTGCATACAGTACATTTGTAAAGCTGGGCTTCAAAGGAAATAAAGGTCAGTATAGCGCAGGAGCGGGCTGGCAGGCCCACCTGATCGTCAGAGCGAACCGGTTAGTGCAAACCGGTCCGAATAAGCTGAATCCCACCCCTGCTCAACAGTCTTCCGAATCTAGATAGTATACCAGGCAACTGAGGTAAATTAGTACAAGAAGAAAGGACTAGAAAAAGAACTAGGTGGCCTTTTGTAATCTTTGTTTCAGGCCAAAGTCCTGCTGGAAAGAAATGTTCCTAAGTCCCTTCTAAAACCTCATGTGTGTGGGTGGAAGGTTTCCGCAATGCAGGGTCAATGCAGAAAAGTCCTAGCTTTTGATTCATACCCTTTTTATTAATATGCAAACTGGCTCTTGATAACTGGAGAGGCAGAGTCATGTTTTAGTGAGGAGTCTAATGGGAACCAGCACCATGTCATATAGGGCTTCATAGGTACGGGTAGTCCTTGACTTATGTCCACAATTGGGACCAGAATTTCCATTGTTAACAAAGCAGTTGTTAAGTGAATCGCGCCCAATTTTGCAACCTTTTTGTCGTGGTTGTTAAAATAAATCACTCTGTTAAGTGAATCACATGGTCGTTAAGCAAGTCTGGCTCCCTCCGTTGACTTTGCTTGCCAGGAGCTGGCGGGGAAGGTCATGAATGACGACCACATGATCTAGGAGGCTGTAGCCGACGAAAACACACGCCAGTTGTCAAGCACCTGATTTTTTATCCCATGACTGTAGGGATGCTGCAGTGATTCTAAGTGTGAGTATGTTGGTTGTGAGTCACTTTTTTCAGTGCCACAGTAACTTTGAACGGTCACTAAACAAACGATTGTAAGTCAAGGACTACCTGTAATTACACATATTTGAATTGTTCAGTAACCATAGCAATGGTGTGATTGTATTTGGTGTGCTGTATGCTTTTCCCATATCAGAAGTCTGGCTGGTGTCTTCTGTACCACTTGCAGCTTCTGATTTGTCTTCAAAAGCAATCCTCCATTATAGGAATCTGGTCAGGTGACAGGAGGTTGCTGTCACTAAAGCATTGCTGTCCAAGCAGAGGCATATCTAGTACTAGCAGCTGAAGATGTTTAAACAGAGCTTTGAATCCAAGAGGTTCCCCAAGGATCTCTTCTATAGGAGGGAGAGAGGGAGCACAGTCCTTTCTAGAACAACCAGCAGAATTGATGTTTCCAAGAAACCAAGATGTTTACACACGAAGACCACCTCTTAGAAGGGTTTTGTCTGAGCTTATTTCTCCCATGCGGTCCAGTATGGCTGCTTACACTGATTCAGATTTCTCCAATATCACTGGCCCAGCCTGTGTTGGCTTCAGGTCCCACATAACTGCTGACTAAAACTCTCAATTCAAGTTGGAGAAGAACCACAGCAAAGCAGCACCCTAACCCTCAACCCTTCCAGATGGTTGAGAAGGTACCATGGCTGATGGCACTCAAATGCCAATGAAAAAATGTAATAGGACTAGGAGGGGCACGCCATCATCTAGATCAGGGATGTCAAACTTGCCGCCGCAGGACAGATGCATCAACTGCTGGCCACTGTCACTCCTGTTTTAGCGAAGGCAAAAAAAGTTGTGATATGTCACGTGTCGACAATATGATGCTGCGAGGTTGACACCCCTAATCCAGATGAAGATTGTCTACCAGTGTGACCAGTGCTGTTTCTGTCCAATGATTGGACAGAAAGGATCCAATTGATCCATTTCCTTTTAGACACACTATGATTCCCCACCATCAGTAGTGGGTTTCAAATCCCGTCACTACTGGTTTGTTCGTGGACGTGCGCGCACTCACACGATGCTTCTGCACATGTGCAGAAGTTTCTGCGCATGCGCAAATACATCCGGGCAAGTGGGTGGATCCTCCCGCCACTGTTACCGGTTTGCCCAATCCGGGGTGAACCGGTAGCAACCCACCACTGCCCAACGTGTTTTCAATAAATAAAGAGATTATGAAAATATTCTACCGTTTTCCAAAACATATGGTTCATGAAAGTGCTCTTACAAGTTGCATTAAACTTTAATAAAGATTATGCCTGAAAAAAAAAACGCTGCTGCTTTAAGGAATCCACTCATTAAAGTTAATACAGCAATTGATGTAGGGAATCTTGAAGCCTGAAAAGAAAGCTGCATATGTGAGGTCAAAATAGCAGGCATCCATGATGGTGAATGTGCGTGAATGTGTGAAAAACAATACACAGACTTACTTCCAAGTAGTTTCTTCATTGTTGTTCACCTACAGACAGAATCTTCCAGACTAAAGCAACTATCTGCATAACTGTGAACTGCTAGAGAGGGGCCATCTTTGCCCTCTTCCTGCCTACCAGATATTCTAAGCTGCGTGGCCTTTTTGACCTCCGGGAGGCAGCCCCTCCCTTCTGTGTCAGCCCTCACATTCCCTCACAATGTCAGCCTATTCTGACACTGTGGTGGAATGTAGTCTGGAGTCCCTCCTGGGACTCCAGACTACATTCCACCACAGTGTCAGAATGGAGGGTGTGACAGGCAATTGAAATCACTTCTTTTTAAAGTATATCACATGCATGTAAGAACAGTAGGAAATGGGGTGGGCTTCGACAAGCCAATTGCACCTACTCTTTTAACATTATTGACATCTGTCTCCCATCTGGGGATCCCTCTAGATCCAAAGCACTAATTCAGAATCATCTTGGAGTGGACTTGGCTTGACCTCTATATTAATACTTTCTTTCACTTAGAGGTTGCAATTTTACTTACTGGTTAAAGAAAAATCCACGCTTGTCTTCCCATCCATGTGTGCACTCGCTTGCCCTTCAGTTTGGATGAAATAACAGAAATAGGCTGTGGACTCCTTCACTTTCCTTTTCCTCTTTCAACAATCCTTTCTCTTTGTCTCCTCCTCCTCCCCAATTCCCCTGCTAGCCTCAACATCCGCAAATCTGATGTGTTGACTGTTTTTGACGGAGGAGACTTAACTGCCCGGATCCTCGGCCAGTACCTGGGCCCCCATCCTCGGTTCAACATTTACTCTTCAGGCCCAGCAGTGACTCTGCAGTTCCAGTCAGACCCTGGTGACCCCCTTTTCGGTCTCAGCCAGGGGTTCCTGGTGCGCTATAAGGGTATGAGAAAAGGCTATGATATGCTTTGGGTAAACTGGGGGAGAATGAGATAGAGAGAGGGAGAGGGGAGAGAGAGAGGAGGGAGAGAGAGAGAGAGGGAGGGGGAGAAGGAGGGAGAGAGGGAGGGAGAGGGAGGGAGGGGGAGAGAAAGGGAGGGGAGAAGGAGGGAGAGAGGAAGAAGGGAGAGGAGGGAGAGAGGGGGAGGAAAGAGAGGGAGAGAGGGAAGGAGGGAGAGGGGATAGAGAAAGGGAGGGAGAGGGAGGGAGGGGGGAGGAGGGGGAGAGAGAGAAGGGGAGGGAGAGGGGATAGAGAGAGGGAGGGAGGGAGAGGGAGGGAGGCGGGAGAGAAAGGGAGGGGAGAAGGAGGGGGAGAGAGGGAGAGGGGAGAGAGGGGAGTGAGAGAGGGGGAGGGAAAGAGAGGGAGAGAGGGAAGGGGAGGGAGAGGGGATAGAAAGGGAGGGAGGGAGAGGAGAGGGGAGAGAGAGGGAGGGAGAGAGAGGAGAGAGAGGGAGGGGGAGAGGGAGGGAGGAGAGAGAGGAGAGAGAGGGAGGGGGAGAGAGAGGGAGGGAGGGGGGAGAGAGAGAAGTTGGTATAAATTAATGCCTGCTGACTCATCCTATGAAAATGGTCTAAGAAGTTAAGCCGTCTTCAAAAAGGCCTCCAGAAGCTGCTTGGGCCAAGAATGGACGGGAATGTTGTATGGTGCATTTGTTTGAGATCAGAAGCAGAAGAAGGAAAAGGAAAGAGCTCAAATGCAGCTGAATAAAACCAAGGTGATATTTTCGCCCAGTTGTAATTTTAGCAGAAGTAGATTGAAGAAGAAAAGAGGCAGAAGTCTTGCTTAAACGCCAATCTGGAGGACAGTATAAAGTTTAAAAACAGAGTATATGTGTCATAGCAGTATTCTTGTAATCGTGCAACTGGGTGTTGGTTGGGGATCCTTTAATTTGGATTTCTGAGCAGGGCCGTTGGTCCTTTCTAACAATGTGATTGTATGAGTTGCTTGTAGAGATGAACTCCTGACATGAAGTGGAAAAATGGGAAAACAAGTGAAATTTGGTGAGGAGAGGTAGGACAGTACGCTGCTGATGTTACTTACTTTGGTAATTAAATGCCTACAAGTTCAAGAGAGTAATAAAAGGCCCCACAGTTCAACCCCGAGCTACAAATATTCTCTTCTATGAGACAGGACAGTGCCTGGCAGAAGGTAGTCCTTACATCCTCTCCTCTCCCCTCCCCTCCCTCTCCTCTCTTCACAGAGGTTCCACAAAATGACACTTGCCCGGAGCTGCCAGAGGTGGAGTTTGGTTGGCGCACAGCTTCTCATACCGCTGTTATCCGTGGCACAGTCGTAACCTACCAATGTGAGCCAGGCTATGATATTGTGGGTTCCGACATTCTCACCTGCCAGTGGGATCTATCATGGAGCAACAGCCCACCTACTTGTCAGAAGAGTAAGTCTTTCTGATGCTAAAATAGGTGGTAAGGATACTCCACATTAGCACTTATCTAAGCATGAAGAAGGAGGTGTGAAAGACAATGGGAGGCGGATGCAAAAGGGGGAGGAGTTTAGTGGGCATGAGAAGAGGCAGACAATTCAGAAATGGAAGCTGTGGGAAGAAAACATTCAGAGTGACTATATACCTTGCTGTCACTTTGACTGGAAGCTTACTTTTACGTTTTTCAATATTATGTTGTTATCTTAATTAGCATTATACCAACTAGGATTAGAAGTGCCTTTCTTGAATCTGTGTGGTTTTCACTTTTTGTGTTGGCCAGCTATGTCGAGCCTTTTGTGTGTGGGGCGGGGGAGAAATAGAAAAATTATGTTGAAGGAAGAACATTTTGGACATAAAAAGCATTAACGTGTCCTGGGTTGCTGCCATGAGAGGTGGGGTGGAGGTTTTTCTTTTAATGGGTTTTTATTACAGGGGAGGTTTTTTAAATTTTGTAAGCTGCCCAGAATCACCTATATACAATTAGAGTGGGTATATACATTTATTTATAACTAAAATAAATAAATAAATTTCACCGGAGACCATTGAAAACTCTGATGCACTGTTTTAGACTTTCTAAGAGGAGAGCTTTTGGTCCATCATTTGCAGTTCTAGAGTCTTTGTGTCATTTTAGAAGGAAAGCTGAAACATTCCCGGAGTAGAATGACACTCTAAAGCAGGGGTCTCCAACCTTGGCAACTTTAAGCCTGGCCGACTTCAACTCCCAGAATTCCCCAGCCAGCAAAGCTGGGAGTTGAAGTCCGCCAGGCTTAAAGTTGCCAAGGTTGGAGACCCCTGCTCTAAAATATCCACAATCAGATATGATTCCTGAATTGGGAACCAGAGGGAAATACGGAGGCCTATTCTCATACTTTACTACACCTTCTCCTTCCCCAAGTTATAAATTGTGCTGATCCTGGAGAGATTAGCAACGGCAAACGGAGTGTCTCAGACCGACATTTCTCCATCGGCTCTCACGTCCAGTACTTCTGTCATGAAGGCTACGTAGTGGAAGGGAGCAATTCACTCACCTGCTACAACCGAGATACAGGCACCCCTAAATGGAGCGACCGAGTACCCAAGTGTGTCTGTAAGTAAAAGCGAGGGAAGGAAAAAGCAAATGGAAGGGAGGGAGCTAGAACTGGGAGGGTCTTTAAAGCAGCAAAGTACATCACAGTTCATTTTAACAAGAGCTTAGCTGGTCTGACGGGTTATAGGGAGTCCTCGACTTATGACTGGTCCCTTATCAACTGTTCAAAGTTGTGGTGAATCTATCTTGGGGGTACTTACAACCTGGATTCGAAGTTCTGATAGTCCCCTCCCCCACAGTCACAGGATGAAACTTTGGGGGCTCAGCAAAATGGCTGCATTTACAGCCATTTGCAGTATCCTGCAGTCACATCATTGCATTTTAAGATGGTTTTCTCAAACATCAACACGGACTTCTAGTTTCCAGCAAAACTGTGGCCATTATAAACCATTGGTTCACTTAATGACCACAATGCTCACTTACCGACCACCACAAAAAGTGATAAAATTGGGTTGGCTATTTCACTGATTTGTTTTATGATCATCATCACTTGCAACCATGATGGGCGGGCTCCAGTGGTGGGATTCAAAATATTTTACTACCGGTTCTGTGGGTGTGGCTTGGTGGGCGTGGTGTGGCCTGGTGGGTGTGGCTTGGTGGGTGTAGCAGGGGAAGGATACTATAAAATCTCATTCCCATCCCACTCCAGGGGAAAGTTACTGCAAAATCCCCATTTCCTTCCAATCAGCTGGGACTCGGGAGGCAGCGAATAGATGGGGGTGGGGCCAGTCAGAATTTTTACTAATGGTTCTCCGAACTACTCAAAATTTCCGCTACCAGTTCTTCAGAACTGGTCAGAACCTGCTGAAACCAACCTCTGGCAGGCTCCATGATAGTGATAAGTGGAGGACTACCTGTGTTGGATTTGCCGCTTTTCTTTGGGTGATCACTCTAGTTAATATGGCTCGCTCACTTCAGTATATTTTTTATGTGTTTAAATAGGAAGGGAAACTGTACCCATTTTTCTAAGGATATCAGAAGCAAGAAATGTATCACTAATACCGTAGAACAAGCTTGCCAAGACCCTGAACAGCATAAATGCACTTTTAAGCTCCTATATCACATACCTACTTAAAGAAATGTCAATACAGTCATGTATGCCTAATTAATCTTTCCAGAATCAGACAAAGTTAAAATGGCCCTTAAGATTCTTCTGCATGTTGACATGGATATTCTTAAGGATGACTGAACATCCTAATTCACAATAAACGGTTATGTTGGTCTTGGACACAGCAAGATCAGGATAGTACATGACCTATTGAGCGATTCAAAAGAAAAATAAGATTCCACATTTATTCTTCTATCGACTATCTTAGCATAGTTTCTAATTGAATGAAGTTCACAGTCATCTGGATATCTTTATTTATACCGGGGATAGGCTATTAATTTTCCCTGGGGCCATATAAGAATCTTGGACTGTTGTGGATGGCTGAACCAATAGGTTGAACATCTATGGAGATTCTCAGTCATCCAGGTCATGGTTGTCCTAAAGGTGGCTTTTCAAGAGGCAACTGGACTTTCTTTGTTTTTCCTTGAAGACGTTTTGCTTCTCGTCCAAGAAGCTTCTTCAGCTCTGACTGGATGGTAGGGAATGGAAGGATTTATATTCCTTGCAAGCAGCCACTCATTTGCATTCTTTTAGTGAAGTGTTGAGGCCACTTGGAGGTTTATCTGTGTCCTCAGGGTCACCGGAGTGGTGCAAATGGGTGCAGAGCCTTCTTGGAACTGCTGAAAGGACTGTGGTGTAGACTGGAGATAGATGATATGGTATCCTTCCCCTTCTGTTGAGAGAGGGCTGTTCAATTTTGACATAGATGGCCTCTTTGACCCCTCTTTCAAACCAGCAGTCCTCTCTATCCAAAATGTGGAGTTTGCTGTCTTCAAAAGAGTGGCCTTTGTCACAGTCCACACAGATGGACTGATGAATCTTGTCCTGATGGGTTTGTTCTCCTCTATTGTGCCACGTGTTTATGAAGTGGTTGTTTTGTTTCCCCAAAATATAGATCTGCACATGGCTCTCTGCATTATACTGAATATACTATGTTGCTCAGTTTGTGTGGGTGTTTTATTGTCAGGGTGAACAAGCTTCTGCCTTAGTGTATTCTTGGGTTTAAAGCAGGGATGAAATCCAGCAGGTTCTGACAGGTTCTGGAGAACCAGTAGCAGAAATTTTGAGTAGTTCGGAGAACTGGCAAATACCACCTCTAGCTGGTCCCAGAATGGGGTGGGAATGGAGATTTTATAATATCCTTCCCCCAGGAGTGGGGAAGGAATGGGGATTTTGCAATATCCTTCCCCCAGGAGTGGGGAGGGAATGGAGATTTTGCAGTATCCTTCCCCTGCCACACCCACCAAGCTACACCACACCCACCAAGCCACGCCCACAGAACCGGTAGTAAAAAATATTGGATTTCACCACTGGTTTAAAGTGTGCATGTATGTTGTGTTGGCTGAAAATCCTCCTGAGCTTTTCAAGAGGATCTTCCATTCTCCACCATCCACCAGTTAGAGCTGAAGAAACCTCTTGGATGAGAAGTGAAACATCTTCAAAGAAAAACAAGAAAGTCCAGTTGCCTCTTGAAAAAAAAACACGTTTTGGGCAAAAGACTGAATTTAATTCTGCTCAATATTAATTTTGTCACTTTACAAAAAGCAGTATAAAGTATAGTTTTCATTAGCTGCTAATGGTAAAAATACAGGTTATGTCTTATGTATATTTGATTTCTAATTTCTTCACGTGGGCCAGACAGGGACAGCCAATGTGACCCAGGTGCCATCAAATGCCCAGGTCTGGCTTCTATTGTCTCCTCTATCAGTGACAGACAACCTGTGGCCTCAGGGCCAAATGCACTTCCTGAAACTCTTTGGTGCCCCTTTTTCCTTTTTCCAGTGAAATACGAGCCTTGCCTGAACCCCGGTGTTCCAGAGAATGGGTACCAAACTCTTTACAAGCATCACTACCAAGCAGGAGAGTCCCTGCGCTTCTTCTGCTATGAGGGCTTTGAGCTTATAGGGGAAGTGACAATCACCTGCATACCAGGACATCCATCTCAATGGACCAGCCAGCCACCCCTCTGCAAAGGTACGGGGACCCTTTTCCCATCGTATGTGGCTTTTACTTACTATTTTGTGACCCTCTTCTTTGTTTGCCTGGCATTTTTTAAACATAGTCCTTTGGTCTCTTTCTCCCCACCAGTGGCCTATGAGGAGTTATTGGATGACCGGAAACTGGAAGGTGAGTGGGAAGAAGCTTGGGAAAGGATTCAGGGAGGGTGACAAACATTATCATCCATCCATCCATCCATCCATCCATCTATCCATCCATCCATCCATCCATCCATCCATCCTTCCTCCCTCTCTCCCTAATTCTCCTTCCTTCCTTTTCCTCCCTCCCTCCCTCCCTAATTCTCCTTCCTTCCTTCCTCCCTCCCTCCCTAATTCTCCTTCCTTCCTTCCTTCCTCCCTCTCCCTAATTCTCCTTCCTTCCTTCCTTCCTCCCTCCCTCTCCCTCCCTCCCTAATTCTCCTTCCTTCCTCCCTAATTCTCCTTCCTCCCTCCCTCCAATTCTCCTTCCTTCCTTCCTTCCTCCCTCCCTCCCTAATTCTCCTTCCTTCCTTCCTTCCTCCCTCCCTCCCTAATTCTCCTTCCTTCCTCCCTCCCTCCCTCCCTCCCTCTCTTCTGCTCAAACAGCAGGTGGAAGTTGTAGCTAAGGGGATTAGGTGTGCCAGACCCTATCCTAGACCTCAATAACTCATGCCTTATGTCCATTTGATAGGACTACTGCAGCGTGCTCTACATGGGGCTGTCTTTGGAGACAATCCATAAACTGCAGCTGGTACAAAAGGCAGCAGCAAGTTTTTTGCCAACACAACCCCACCAATATGGAATTACACTTACAGTACAGTGGCTGCATTGGTTACCAATAGACTTCCAGGCCCAATTCAAAGTGCTGTTCATAACATTTGAAGCTTTATGGTGCAGGATGCTTCAAGCAATAATTTGTCAGAACGTAATCTGCCCATCTTGTCTCTTCATTCAGAGAAGGCCTGTAGACCTTCCCCTCTCGAGGACACATCTGGTTCTCTCTGTAGTAGCTCCCATCCTATGGAATATTCTTTCCCAAGAAATACATGCAGCTTTCACCTTGGCTGCAATTCTAGAAATGGATTAAGCCTGTTTTATTTTAATGACCTTTCAAACCCAGCTAATTGACTGTGGGCAATTATCATGGATTTTATTTCATAGTTATCTTTGCTTTTTGTAACTGTTTCGGGTCTTTGACCATGTTCTAATTTACTTATTGCTATACTTTTCAGGTTTTTTAGTTCATTTGGGATTGGGGTGGGCTATAAATTCTGAAAAATAAAATAAAATAAAAAGCTCAGAGTGGAGTGTTTGATACATACATCTCACATACTTCACCTTTTTCTTTTTTCTTGTAGTCACCCAGACCACAGATCCTTCCCACCAGATGGAAGGTGGCAACATTGCCTTGGCAATCTTCCTCCCCATCATTCTCGTCATCCTGCTGATTGGAGGCATCTACATCTACTACACTAAGTGAGTGAGTGATATCAGATGTATGCTTTGCTCAATGGACATCTAAGTGCCATTAGACTCTGAACTTGGGTGCATATAATGCCTTACCAACATACATTTAAAAGAGAGGAAAATGTCTTAATACTGCAATCGTATAATCAGTTCGAAACCAAGATCACTGGTATATCAAGTGATAATAAAAGCTCTCCATATATGGCTAGAAGGAGCTTTGATTCCTGCCAAATCAGCAAATTTTATGTTTTACAACTTCAATAACAGGGTCCCCAATCCCCAGGCCATGAGCTGTTTGGAACCAGGCCATGGAAATCCCCCCCATACATACGGTGGCCCACAAAGCCAAAAAGATTGGGGAACTCTGTTCTAGAAAGTATTAACCACTGTCCATACTTGCCATTAAGCATAGTTAGAGTAGCCAACTGACTGTTTATCCCTTCTGTTTCTCTGAATGGCCTTGGCCTCAGGTATAAAATGAAGTCAATATATGGACAAAAATGTGACTGATGATCAGATTAATTTTGTTGTGATAGATATGGTTGGTATTTACTAAATACGTAAAGCAAAAATGTGAGTTGTAACTGAATTTTGTATTTTACTGCACCGAAAAAAGTTGGAAGTCACCTTTTTTCCCCTTTTATATCACACTCCCTTCTTTTCTTTACCTTCTTCTGTTCCCTCATCATCTTTGTTTCTCTTTGTATTTTATAGTATAATATACTTGAAGTTTTTTTTTAAAAAAATGTTGGATGTGCGCAGAACATAGGAAGCTGCCTGATAGCCAATCAGACAATTGGCTGATCTAATTCCTTCAGAGAAGCTCTTTGCATCTGAAGATGCTGGTGACCAATTCTGAACCATCCAAATGCAAAATATATAATCTTGTCCGCTGGGTTAGGGTTACTTCTGTAACATACAGTCCATGGAGTTATGCCATTAAAATGAATCTGATTTTCCAAACTGGTAGAGGCTGATTGTTTCACTCCATTCTCTTCTTCTTTTACTTTCCTGCAGATTCCAAGGAAAAACTCTCTTTGGCTTCTCCTTTTCCAGCTCTCACAGCTACAGCCCCATCACTGTAGAATCTGATTTCAACAACCCTCTCTACGAGGCTGGGGTGAGCTGCAGATGCTCAGCCAAACCATTGTTCTATAGTACCTATTTTTGAAAAGCTCTGATTAAGGAGGGTTGACTTATTCCGGTTCTGCATTTCCCTCTCTTCTCACTGCTCTTTTCAACCTCTTGCAATCCTATTGTAGTTCTGTACAGATTTATCCCAGATTTGGGCTGTAAAATTAGGGTCAGCCATTAGATCTCTTGGAAGAGATATAGCCGTTCCCACCCATACTGCCATCAAGTGGTCATCTGGCATTTTGCAACCTGGATGAGTTCATTACAGATTTTCTGCCGTTTCTCCCAACAAGGGTATCCGTTAGCCACATTTCTACTGGTTTGGGAGGAATTTTGCTCATTTCAAAACTATTCCGAGAACAGGTAGTCCTTGACTTACAACAGTTCATTTAGTGACCGTCCAAAGTTACCACGGCACTGAAAAATGTGACTTACAACCATTTTTCACAGTTACGACCTTTGTAGCATCCCCATGATTAGGTGATCAAAATTCAGATGCTTGGCAACTGAGTCATATTTAATGACCTTAGCTGTATCCCAAGGTCACGGAATCCCCTTTTGCGACCTTCTGACAAGCAAAGTCAATGGGGAAGCCAGATGCACTTAACATCTGGATTACTAATTTATCAACCGCATTGATTCACTGTGGCAAGAAAAGTCGTAAAATGGGGCAAAATTCATTTAACAAATGTCTCACTTAACAAACAGAAATTTTGGGCTTAATTGTGGCCATAAGTCAAGGAGTCCCTGTATTCCCTCCAATACTTCCACATGCTGCCAGTAGTGGTCACCAAAGGTCCCCTTTAGAGTTGAGAGAAAACGAAACCATGCTAAGATGAATTCTGGTTTTATTTACTTAACCATGATTTACTGAATTTATCCCAGTGATGGCTAACCTTTTTGCAATCGCATGCCAAAAGCATGGGGAGCGTGGGGGGGGTGGTGTCTCGCACGTGCCCATACCCATAATTCTATGCACCCCACCCCCCACGCATGCGTGCATGACCCCCTCGCTTTTGGCACGTGATGGCCTGGTGAACGGCCTTCCCCACCCCCCGGGGGCCCTCCAGAGGCCGGGAATGGCCCATTTGCCGACTTCTGGTGGGACCAAAAGGCCCGTTTTTTGCTCTCCCCAAGCTCCAGAGCCTTTCTAGGAGTCTGGAGAGGGCGAAAACGGCCTTCCCCGCCTGCCTGGAGGCTCTCCGGAGGCCGGAAACTGCCTGTTTCCTGACTTCTGGTGGCCCCAGAATGCCCGAAAATCAGTTGGCTGGCACACACATGCACGCCGGAGCTGAGCTTGCATGCCCACAGATATGGCTCTGTGAGCCACCTGTGGCACGTGTGCCATAGGTTCGCCATCACGGATGTATCTTCTTTGGTGGGTTGGCACATGGGATCAGAGGTGGTATTCAGCCGGTTCGGTACAGAAATCGCAGGTGGGACTGCCCACCCGCCCCAGCTCTATGACTTCCTATTTAGGCACGTTTTGGAGGCTGGGTGCACGCATGGAAGGCGTGTGCACCAGTAAAGCACATGCACAGAAGGCTGGGCGCATGCATGGACGGCCGGGCACATGCGCGTGCACATTTGCGAACCGGTAGGGAAAGTAAGTGAATACCATCCCTACATGGGACCATAAACCAACCAACCCTGCCACAATGCATGAAGGTAATCTTTTGATTTTTGAATAGTTTAAAGTCAATTAGGTAAAGGAAAAGAGCAGGTGAGATTCTGTCCCTGAATTAAGGTGTTTCCCCCCCCTTTCTTCTTAACAGGACACCAGAGAATACGAAGTTTCCATTTAGAAGACGTTAAGAGGATCTGCCATTCTTCTCCCAAACCCAACTAGGTCTGAAGATCAGCGACTGAGAATGATTCCTGATTTGGAGGGAATAGCGGAAGGTGGTTTTTGGGAGGGGGCTAAGGGAAAATGGAGGGGAGAGAAGGAGTTTATCCTTTCTACCCCACAAATTCAGCTTTATCTCTTCTCCATGTTGCTGCCTGACTGTCCACTCTCAGCTTTGGACCACTCCCTTCTCCCATGTAAATACCCTCTTCAATGTGCCAAATGTGTTTCTCACACACACACTCACAGAGTTGTTATTATTATTATTATTATTATTATTATTATTATTATTATTATTATTATTATTCTGCTTTATCTGTTTGTTTTATTTCTCTATTTATTTATTACGTTACACTTTTCCTCTTTCTCCATTTTAACAATCATTCCCTTAGTGGTTGAAAAAGGAGGAGGGGGTGACCTCATCCCTTCTTCCATACTTTATCCCCCACTCCGTTTTTAAGGAAGTGGGCCTGAGTTCTAAATGGTGCTGCCATTGAAAATTTAAAAAATAAATAAATAAATAAATAAAATATCTCTGTAAACAAGGCTGTGCAGTAAGATGACTAAAACCCAATATATGTGGCTTTCCACTAGGTGATATATTTAATCCTGAAATCAGTGGCAAAAAGATGCGGGCAACAGAAAAAGCCAAATGTTGAGAGGCATTAGAAAAGATATTGATTCTTAATTCTTAACATGGAAGCAAGTCTCAAATTGTTCAGGAGAATTTACCTTCATAAAATCGGGAGTACATAAGATAATCATGGAAATATAAGCAGTGTCCTAAAACCATTGACTTTAGATTATACACCATCGGAGTTTTGCAAGATCTGTGTGCTGCAACATGCCCAATCAGAAACCAACCAGGCTTCAATTTTAACAGATTTGTGGGGATGCAATAGACATACTTTCTCTATATTACAGGACACCAATGCCTCCAGAAATAGATTGTCAGGTGTTATAGCCTGGGGCTGTTGAAATAACCTACAATGACAAAACAATGTAATCGTTCCACCAGATTTAGCTGTATTTTCCTTTCTCGTACCATTAATTTCTTCGGCTTACTCCTTCTTACTCCCGTTCTATGCTTTGCCTAATATTACTTACCCCAAAATGGAAGAGTGTGATGGGCATGTATGTATGTACATATGTTTGTACAACCCCAGGAATAGGGTTGACACCCAGATAAGCACACATAGGAGTGCTGCCTATAATGGGTTTCTACTTATATTTTGGTTATTCTTCCTCTAATCTTCTAATATTTCTCCCACCTCTCTGAAAGCAACAAGAATAACAAAATAAAATAAAATAAAACCAACATAATGCACATCTTGAAAAGAGAGGCTTGCTAGAACTTCAGTAAGCAAACTTGGTCTGTTTGTTAGATTGGAAGACATAACCACCCATAATCAATAAATTCATTATTATTTGTTTGCTAGGCAGTTTATCCTTTCCTTTCCTCTTGGAGCAGCTTCCATAGCACTCCCTCCTCCTATTTTTCCCTAGAAAAATGCTGTGGTTGGATTAGGATAAAAATGAGGGAAGGGGACTTTGGTCTAAAGTCATCCAGTCAACTTCCATAACTGCAAGTGGACTTGAATCTGATCTCCATGATCCTTGCCAAATCCTTTTACCATTAGAACACATTGGCCTTTTGTTTAACATATTTTTAGCAGTACAGAATGGCTGTGGGGAATCACTTTAGTTTTACATTTGAGATACAAATGTAATAAGGGTTGTCCCTAGTTCCACACCAAGCTAGAAGGCATCCTAAAATAAATACTATGTCTGTTCAACCATTGTGATTGCTAAAAATTAATTTTAATATCCCCAAATCTTTGGGGGAATCATTGATAAACCTTTTGATCTGAGTTCCTCTGGAGCTATTTCCCATGAAATTCATATGGCTGTTTAGATTTGGAGTAAAACCTTTTAATAATAAAACACTTCTCCCTAATGATTAGGATCCATATAACTTTTAAAAGATTAAAGTGCATCTGATAATTTTATGTTGCTTTCAAAGTTAACAAATCACTGAGCATTACTAATTTTACATATGCTTAGAAGGACAATATTTATTATTTTTGAATTGTACTTTACAGTTCTTTTTTTTTTTTTTTTAAAAGACTACATCTTCCCCATTTGTCTAATGTACTGACCCAAATAATAAAATAGCTGGAGGTTTTGCAGCCTCTGATTCATTACAGTATCCTCTGAATGATAAAAAAAGAGAGTAATGTAATTATGTCGGGAAAAGATCGATTTTCCTACTTCGCAGTATCTTAACAAGAAAATAATATGCCCACCTGGTATTAGACAATTGCTTTAAGGATTAAATGTTATTTCAGGATATAAATGGTTTATTGACAGCCTCTCTTGATTTACCACCACAGAAAGCCACTGGCTGCCTTGTATCTTCTTCAGGATGTTGACGTTTTGTGTGGCTCTTTCTCGTACTCTTAAGTATGACAACAGGAAAGAGCCTTAGTGCCAAAATGTATGAAAGTACACTTTTAAAGCTGTTCAAGAGACCTCATCTCTTCAAGAGACCCTCTTTTAGGACATGAGAGCATCTGAATGGAATCGCAGTACTCATCTCCCACACCGTCTACAGGAGATGAGAATATTGTACCTAAAGCCCCTCACTTACTGCCAGTACAGAGCAGGATATAAAAATAATATTTCCCAACCCTTCTCTTTTCCCAAATAGTGAAACTGACTTATTATATCAACCCTTCCCTGGTGGCCAGTCTTGTATTTTGGAAGAAGGTGAAAAGTATTATTTACTCCAATTTTTGTAGATAACTTATCCTTCCTCTTTGTAGGTCTTTTATCATGCTAGGAGGACAGTCCTGACATATCCCCACAAATGACAGTCCAGTTTCTGGGGAATGCTCTCCTTTGCATCCTTACCATTTACAATTCTATTTTATTTTTATTCTTTTGGGCCTTTGGTTAGCCCCTCCCCCCCGCTCCTTCTCATTTGCTTTTATTTTGGAGCAATAAATAAAGCGCACCATTTGTAAAAGCTGTGGCGTCTGTACTTCTGTTACAGTCCAACAGGAAATGAGTGTACTCTTTCTATGGCAATGGGCAAGTTTGGTCATCCAATTTAGCAAAGAAGTGTTTAGTGGTGTTGGAAGAAATGTCTATTTAGGTTCAGTTCCAAGTGGGGAGAAAGGCACTGGAAACATGGAGACTGCTTAAAAAGATGGTTTAATTGTAGACAGGACTACATGGTTTTGAGGTCCTGGGCAAAAAAGCACATGGGTGATAGAGAGATTTATACCCTCTGTTGGGCTTTGAATTTGAGCTTGTGTTCTGGTTGGTTGTCAGACTCCCATGGGGCCATGCAGGGGTAACTTTGTAGGTTGTCTGTGTCCCAGGCTTGGTTGAGCCTTACTGGGTGATGATGTAATGAAAGGGCTTTGGGCAATTCCTACTATGGCTCTGACTGAAGGAGGTAAATCTTTGTTATGTTGAATGACTGGCCTAGGCCTTAATGGCCTATTGACAAAGGCAGGGTGGTAGTGGCGAGTTTCTACCTCTGTTTTAGGGAAAATATTCTGCCCTTTTAATATTTCCAAAAGTATCTCATTTTCCTAGGAGAGGGATTGGTGCTAACTTCCTACAGTGGTAACACACATGAAACGATACTTTCACACCTGTTTGGAGTGGGGGTGCTTTGTGTTTGAAACAGAGTTAAGGGAAGAGTCCAGTGGCTAATTGGGTGTTGAAAAAGGTCCAAAACCAAAAGAATATTAACACAGAAATCCAATGATTTCTCAGTACTTTATATATATATATATATATATATATATAAATTTAACATTCTGTGGTTCTTCTTCCATTGCCCCAAAGGTGCTTTTTTCAAGAGGCAACTGGACTTTCTGGTTTTCCTTTGAAGACGTTTTGCTTCTCATCCAAGAAGCTTCAAAACAAAACAAAACAAAATCAGATAGTCCAGTTGCCTCTTGAAAAAAACCACTTTTGGGACAACCATGACCTGGATGACTGAGAATCTTCATAGACATTCTTCTTTTAATCAACTAGAGATTGCATCAAGTAGCCCATAGGCAAAAATAAATACATTTAAAAAGCAACCTGTCCCTTTAACAGAATTTAAGGTACAGTTAACCTAATAGCCATTTTTGGAAAGGAAACTAACCGGCTACTAGTGGTTGTGAATAAAAATGTGAACAGGTGGCTTGTTTGAAATATTAGCATCACATACCGGAGGTGGGTGGTTCTATAACCACTATATCTATTTCTGGCCCCAACACCTATCTTCTGGGCCTTCATTTTTATTTGTGCATGATCTGTGGAGTGCTAGGTACTCTCTGAGCTAAATTGTTTTCTTTTAGATGTTTCATTACCCCACTAGGAACCATCAGTGCTAATGAGTGTGGGGTTTGCTCCATGTTTATATCCTTACACCTAACACTGATGGTGTTATCCAACAGGGTAAAGAAATGCCTGCAAGAAAAACAACTAAACTAAGCACCAAGGACTTCACAGTTCAGCCCATGTTCTCTTCTATGTGCTTAATCATCACAGCCCATGTTCTAGAAAATCATTAGTAAGCCTACTGACAAACTGTCGCAGCATCATTAGTTGACAATGTAGTTTTTTAATTCCCTTCAGCACAAGCACTTTATTTCAGATTTTAAAAGCAAATGCTTTTTTTGGGAAGTTGTCATCTATTAAGGTAAAATAAAGCCGCCTTTGCTGAGATCAAATCCTGGTGATGACACAGACATGCCTATATATGGGTAGTTCTTTTTACAATTCAAAAGTGATTGCTGCTGCCTTTTTGAGGAACAGTTCTGGTTTGGCAATTTCCCACTTTAACTTTCAGCTGCTGTGTTCTCCTTTGAGGGTCCTAATCAAACTTGAGGGCTGGTAACAGGTGGCTGTTTTATAACATGGCTGGCTCAGGAATTCTGGGAGTTGAAGTCCACAAGTCATAAAAGAGCCATGGTTCTCCACCGGTGTTACAGAAGATCTCTATCTATTGAAACCAGAAGCCTATATCAAATAAAGCCTTGTTCTGTTAAACATCTGCTTGTACAATAAAAATACAGGTAGTCCTCAACATATAACCATTCATTTAGTGACCATTCAAAGTTACAACGGCAGCGATTTACAAGCAATATCCACACTTACAACCTTTGCAGCATCTCCACGGTCTTGTGATCAAATTCAGGCACTTGGCAATTGGTGTGTCTTCACAATGGTTGCAATGTCCCGGGGTCAGTGGTGGGTTGCCCCCGGTTCGCACCAGTTCTGTAGAACTGGTAGTAAAACCAGCGGAAGGCTCCGCCCACCGACCCCGACATCACCAAAATGCTTCTGTGCATGCACAGAAGAGCGCACGTGTGTGCGAGTGAAGTGAGCACGCCCCCCCCCGTTGCGAACCGGTAGTAAAGGTAAGTAGAACCCACCCCTGCCCGGGGTCATGTGATCACCTTTTGCGCTCTTCCCAGAGCCGGCTTCTGATCAGCAAAGTCAATGGGGCAAGCTGGATTTACTTAACAGCTGTGTGATTCATTTAATAGCTGCAATGATTCACTTAACTATGGCAAAAAAGATAATTTACTTAACAACCGTCTTAGCAATGGAAATTCTGGTTCAAATTATGGTCACAAGTTGAAGACTATCTGTGCTGAAACAAAAAGCATATTGAATGAAGAGTTTGCATAATAGTATTTAGGGAGGTTGTGTCCTGGGGAAATACAGAAAATAAGTCCCTCTGTATCTTATGACTTAATTGACTTCATATCTATTTCCTTTCCTGATAATATAAGATTTTAAAATCCAATCTCTAGCAGGAGACTCATAGGTTCATCGCAGGTTTCACTGCAGAAGACAAAGATGCAGAAGTCATTCTGTTCATTTTGATTATTGTATCACAGCAAACCATGATTTACCAACGTTAAAATAAAACATTGTCACATGTAAATGACTAACCCTGTGATTGATTGATGTATATATCAAAAGGATGTAAATATTAATTCCCTTTTCCAATAACCACTCCCTCATAACTCCTCCTTACCTTGACTCCGCCTCCTTAGTATATATAAGCCCCATCTCACTCCTTCATCTTGTGCTCTCTCCTGTCATGATACCTGTTAAGATGTTAAATAGAAACAATAAATATATTTATTAGAAAAGGAATGACTTCTATGAGTTATTGGGCTTGATCCTTGAATCTACGTAACAAATTGGTAGCAGAGGTCGGTTTTATGCCCATAACTCTGAAACATGACTCAAAGCAAAAAGAGAATGAGTACCAGAGAATATTCAAAATTAATGGCAGCGCAACTGTCACCACCCGAAGCAATCCCAGAGGGAAAACCAGCACTAAATTCCAGAACTATGCCAGAAAACAATGACAGGAGAATCGAAGAAAAGACAGATGCCACAGCAGATTCAAACAAACTGAGAAAAAACATATTAAAAATACTAAACTCACCTACCGACAACAAAGAACTCATTGAAAACCTTGGACAACTAATTAAACAACACGAAGCCGCAGATGAAGCTCAAAAATTGAACATGAAAGCCACAGAAACCAGCCCAGTGAGAGACGAACCAAACAATAACGGCCAGTATGAAACTGGCAGGAAAATTTTGGTGCCCATTTTCGAATGGCGGCCATCTTTAGTCGAACAAACAACAAAGATGGCCGACCGTATACTAAGGGATGACCTGAATCCAAAATGGCTGACACAGACTCAAACCTATTTAAAAATAAAAGAAATAAAAACAATACCTCACTCACAAAATCAATCCACCGAAGCCGAAATAGATAACGCTATTAAAACTCTCACCATGGCTTTTGGATCAGAAATAAAATTACCACTACATTACCCTAACGCACTAAAAATATCCGGAGAAATTACAGACATTGAAGAAAAAATAAACAAACACTATACAAAGGGCGCAGACATCACCACAGAAAAACCACTGACACTATTCAATCCGGACACTAACTTCAGCCTTCCACCGCTAACGCAATCCCCAATACTGAAGGACCGCGAAAAATACTTACCATCACAACGACATCGCCCGATTGACCAGGACATCTACCCAGACCATCCATTGATGATCCAGAGGACGACTCGATTCCCAGCTGACCACGACTGGCACCCCAAGACTGAACATGGGCCTCATCCAGTCGAGGTAGGCCCACGCCCAGGAGCAGCGTTAACAGGAACCTCTCTTGACGACTTTAGAATAAAAATGAACTTCGCACATGCGCAGAATGACCTAAAGGAAAGAGAAGAAAAAAAAGTTCAAGCCTGTCTTTTTAAATTGCCTGCAAATATTCCATTACCATACTGCTGCTTTCCTATGATTCAGAACCATGGACAACCACTCTCAGTAAGTAACACCTCACACAACTCAGGGACTTTACCCATCAACTTCCCTATTTTAAAATTAGATGGAACCAATTTACAAGAATGGAATCAACAACTCCAAGTCACTTTTCTGAGAGAAAACTTACTTTTCATGATTACTGACCCTCCAAAAAAACCTTGGACACTTGAATTGGACTGCCTACATCACAAAGCATTTTACCTACTAATAGCTAGTATTTCCCCCAGTATTTACCCTAGTCTTAACCATTATTTAACTGTACCAGAACTAATACAATGTATGTTTGACCTATTCTACAGCAAAAGTGTGGCAACAACAACTCGAATCTCTAGAAATTTCCATTCTGCTAGACTTAGAGCAGGGACTTCAATGAGCGAACACATATTGAATTTAAAGGCTACCAGGGCAGAATTATTACAGAGAGGGGAAATTATAACAGAAGAAAGCATGAAGAGCATTATTATAAATTCACTAGACCCTAGTTGGGATAATTTCATAGATCAACCAGACAGTATTACAATGGGGCATCTATCAATACAGACACTAACGAACAAATTAATTGCCGAAGATAATTTAAGAAAAGATAGATCACTACACCACAGAGATAGTAGAATTATTAAAAGAGTAGAATTCCATAGCAAAGATAGGGACATGCATGAATGCTACATATGTGGCTCCAAGAGTCATTACAAAAGTGATTGTCCAAAAAACATTAGAGGAAGAGATCATTACCAAAATAGAGACAGACAAGAAAATAGACATAGACCCCATGAAAGAGACTCAAATTACAGATACAGACGTAATGACTCTCCCATCCCAAGGGATATGAGAAAATACAGAGATAATTTCAAAGAAAATCAGTCAGAAACTCTTTACAGACTAGGGAATCAGAAATTCTACATCAATCCAATAAAAAAGGAGAATCATTGGCTTATAGATTCAGGAGCCACTAATCACACTACTTATGACAGGAGATTACTCACATCTTTTACAAAAGAAAACTTTATGATTAAAGTAGCCAATCAAGATAATGTTTTGGTAACTGGGAAAGGTAACATACATATACATGGGATAGATGAAATAGAGGGGGTACTTCTTGTCCCCAAAATACCCCATAACATACTTGCAGCATTGAAGCTGACCAGGGATTTAGGCATAGAAATCACCATTAAAGAAGGGAAGATATACATGACAAAAGACAAAGTAGACATAAAGGGAATTACAATAAGGCCACTATTGAGATCTCGACAGCAGAAGCAATAGGTCAAAGGTCAAGGCATATTGACATAAAAAATAAACATGTTAGACAACTTTCAAATATTGGATTTATCAAAGCCTTATATTGTGATACAGAGGAACAAATTGCAGATATTTTAACTAAACCACTTCAGTGTAAACAACATAACTATCTAATGTCCAAATTGTGTATTCGTATATAAGATGAGATACTTTAATCACTTTTCATACGTACTGGTTAGTCCTTTAGAGGGGGTTTTGTCACATGTAAATGACTAACCCTGTGATTGATTGATGTATATATCAAAAGGATATAAATATTAATTCCCTTTTCCAATAACCACTCCCTCATAACTCCTCCTTACCTTGACTCCGCCTCCTTAGTATATATAAGCCCCATCCTGCTCCTTCATCTTGTGCTCTCTCCTGTCATGATACCTGTTAAGATGTTTAATAGAAACAATAAATATATTTATTAGAAAAGGAATGACTTCTATGAGTTATTGGGCTTGATCCTTGAATCTACGTAACAAACATGACTTAGCATAATGTGTGAAACTGGTCAGTATACTGTGTTGTATCTTAACAGATGTGCAAAATTATGCATCTTAGCAACAAATCCAGTTTCTCTTGTGGTAGTGAAAAAAATCATGCTTTTAGCATAAATTACCTCATTTATACAATTTTTTAAAGTGCATGTTTCTTCTAGGTCAGTGTTTCTCAACCCTGGCAACTTGAAGATGCGTGGACTTCAACGCCCAGAATTCCCCAGCTAACATGATGACTGGGGAATTCTGGGCATTGAAATCCACACATCTTCAAGTTGCCAGAGTTGAGAAACACTGTTCTAAGTCATAAGAAAAATCTCCAGAACCATTGTAGAATTAGCACCCACCTATTCTCCTAGAGAATGAAATATTTTGAGGAATATTAAAAGAGAAAGAATATTTCCTCTAAAGGAGAAATGGAGAAAAAAGTCTTAAGGGAGGCAGAAACCAGCCCCAGTCTCCCTGTCCTAAACAGAAACTGAGGAGGCCAGCTTTTAGAAATGCAGATTTGGTAATCTATTCAGAAAGACTGGGTCAGACGGAAACTTCAGATAAGCAACAAGCCAAAGGTTGACAAGGTTAGCTTAGGCAAACACCTAGGACAGTGATGGCTAACCTTTTTGCCGTCGTGTGCCAAAAGCGTGGGGAGCGTGGGGGGGAGGTCGCGCGCACACATGCCCATACCCATAATTCAATGTGCCCCACCCCCACCCACCCACGCTCCCCCCGCTTTTGGCACACAATGGCAAAAAGGTTACCAGTGGGCCCGGTAGGCCTGTTTTTTTGCCCTCCCCAGGCTCCAGAGGCTTTCTTGGAACCTGGGGAAGGCGAAAATGGCCTCCCCCAACCTCCCGGAGACTGGAAATGGCTGTTTTCCAACTTCCGGTGGGCCCAGAAGGCCCGAAAATCAGCTGGCCGGCACACCCATGCGCGCTGGAGCTGAGCTAGGGCAACACTTGCGTGCCCACAGAAATGGTTCCCCGTGCCACCTGTGGCACGCATGCCATAGGTTCGCCATCACGGACCTAGGATTTGCAATTCCCCTGTTGCCTATATAGGCAGCCATTACCCCTACCTGACCCCATAGAAATAAAAAAGGTATAAAAACCACCCTACTGTCAATTCCATTTTGTCAGCTGTCCCAGAATTACAGGCTGTGTGTGTGTTGGTTCTGTTCAATAAACAGAATCTTTCTTTCCAATCAGCCTCCATTTTATTCCCGGCTTGGAACTAGACTTGGATATTTCTTCGAACACCATATTAAGGGAAAAACCTTAATGGTACTCATTTTGAGCCCTCTAGGTCTTTTCATCAGACATAAGGTAAAGGTATAGGTTCCCCTCACACATATGTGTCAGTCGTTCCTGACTCTAGGGGGCGGTGCTCATCTCCGTTTCAAAGCCAAAGAGCCAGCGTTGTCCGAAGATGTCTCCACGGTCATGTGGCCGGCATGACTAAACGCCAAAGGCACACAGAATGCTGTCAACCTTTCTGATCGACAAGCTCAGCGTCTTAGCCACTGAGCCACCGCATCCCACTTTTTCATCAGATAAGATGTTGTTAAATAAGTTTCCAACAACTAACTTCATGCTACTTTTTAAGGGAGATTCCCCCCTTTTCTTCATCCCTGAGGATGCAACTCTGAAACATCACACTATAAAACAAGGTTATCTAGCTGTATTCATACATGGCAGTAAACCATTATGTGGTTTGTTTGGATGGAATTTTGTATATCTATGCATTATTGGTTTATTGATTAAACCAGGGGTGTCAAATTCGCAGCATCATGGTGGCATCACATGACGTATCGTGACTTTCCCCCCTTTGCTAAACCAGGCATGGACGTGGCCAGCGCGTGATGCATCCTGCCCGCAGCCTGCGAGTTAACACCCCTGGACTAAACCAAAAATCACACTATCCAAATATATTCTATTCCACCATCAATTTAGCAAGCCAGTCTCCCCCTCCCACTTTGTAATTATCCTATAAAGTGGTGCGTTGTAGAGGTGAATTTCAGCAGGTTCTGACCAGTTCTGGAGAACTGGTAGTGGAAATGTTGAGTAGTTCGGAGAACCGGTAGTAAAAATTCTGACTGGCCCCGCCCTCATTTATTCTCTGCTTCCAAAGTCCCAACTGATTGGGAGGAAATGGGGATTTTGCAGTAATCTTCCCCTGGATTGAGGTGGGAATGGAGATTTTACAGTAACCTTCCCCTGTAATGCTCACCAAGCCACACCCACCAAGCTATGCTACGCCCACCAAGCCACACCCACAGAACCAGTAGTAAAAAATTTTGAAACTCACCACTGGTGAGTTGCTCCTGGTTCACCCGGGTTTGGGCAAACCGATAGTGGTAGCGGCGGGAGATCCTGCCCACCCGCCCTGACCAGTGATGTGTTCCTCCCAGTTCGGCCCAGTTCTCCTGAGCCCGTAGCGGTGACAATATGATGTCACCAAACCGGTTTTGCTGCCCTGCCCCCCCACCCCTGCATTATTCTTACCTTTTATTTGGCCCCACCCCCAATCTATTGCTGCCTCCTGAGTCCCAGCTGATGGCTAGAGGGAAGAAAACTGTTTAAACTCTTACTGTGGGGCTTCAAAGGGCCGTCCTACAGCTGATCAGTGTTAAAAGCAAACAAATGAGTAGACCAGTTCCTGCAAAAATAAATGGGTAGACCAGTGCTTGCAAAAAATAAATGGGTAGATTGGTACAGCTCTGCAAGCAGTTAAAAGCCTGGTAGACCAGTACCTGCTAAATCCTAAATAATTGTCACATGACCATCAAGCCACACCCACAAAATAAGCCATGCCCACAGAACTGGTAGTAAAAAATTTTAGAACCCACCCCTGGCCCTGATGTCATCAAAAATGCTCTGCAAATGTGCAGAAGCGCTGTGTGCTCGCAAAGCGAGCGCACGCACCCGTGCACTACCAATAGCGAACCAGTAGCGCTGAGATTTGAATCCCACTACTGATCTTATCCTTGTGAGTCTTCATTTTAATACTTTCATTTTATTCTCTGAAATACAGTACTGGTACTCTAGATCACTCATTGCGTTAAATAATTATGGTAATTCTTTACCCCTACAGAGAATCAATTTACTCAGTTCTACTCCAGCAACATTTTGAAGCTTTCTCATGCCAGCGTTTTACATATTATTTGCAAGGAGGCAGTTTATCCAAATAAATACAGTAGCAATCTCTAATATTTTTAGGGGAGGGGACCTATGATCTGTAAAATACGGTAAAATTTTCTCCATGTAATAAAGTCGGAGGAAAGAAGTGCAGTGCTCAGTTGTAATAAACAAAAGAAAAACCCATCTTAATTACTAACATGATATATGACTTTGTACTAATGAAAACTCACCAGGAAAATTTTAAGATTTTTGAAAGGAAAACAAAAAAGGCAGGCAAGCTATTCTGGCTGCAGTTCTAATATACAATATTTCTATTTATTGATGGAGTTGCAATCAGAATAACTCAACTGCAGTTGATTTTGGAGTTTAAGGGTATTTACACAGTAATTACAAAGTTTGCTCAGAGAAGGTGGAGCTTAGAGACAGAAACCTAGCAGAACGTAAACAAGAAATCCACACAAGAACTAGTTGGCAAACTATCTGAGGTCTAGCTTCCTGTTTCCTGTAAAGACAGCACGATATTTGCCTCCTCCAAGCCTACCAGCAAGGTACAAATGGAACAGTAAGTTATCTGGTAAACTGCCTCTAATCATAGAGGTTCCATTAAACTGTCATCTTTTTCTTGCAAAAAAAAGGAAAGAAGAATTTATGGTTTATGATAAGATAAACTTTAGGGCTTAGAACTACTGAATTCCCTTCCTCAGCCTTTGTTGATTTAAATTCTGTATATACTGTTTAGTATCTTTTTAAAAATGGGTAGTTCTTACGATTCCTGTAGATAAATATGTTTCTCGGATGTGGCAATTTAAGGGGCAAACTCTGGAATTCTGGGGCAAACTCCCAGAATTCCAGAGCCTGCTCTAGGTCGTACCTTATTTATAGTATAGTATAGTACATACTGCAGTGTTTTTCAATTTTGGCAGCTTAAGGCTATGTGGACTTCAACTCCTAGAATTCCCTAGCAAGCTTACTTCTCACTGTAGTTTACAACCCTGTGATTTCCCTTCCAATGATTAGTTATTATTTAGAAATAATACCCACATTTATCCAGAACCGGCTTCCATTTTGAGTCCGTTCTAGACTTGCTATCTTTTCACTCCCATTGCATACCAGCTGGGAATTATGGGAGCTGAAATCAAACTCTGCCAGAAAGCAATGAGTTGGGAAGGGCCTTTTGGATAGTGTTAGGTGTTAAGATTGGTTCACCATCCTGCAGGCAGTGTTTTTCACTTGTAGATTTGTAGATTTCAACTCCCAGAATTCCCCTGTCAAAGATTCTGGGAGTTGAAGTCCATACATTTTCAAGTTGCCAAGGCTGAAAAACACTGCTCCAAGGGCTGCAATCCTGTGCCTTTATTTAGGATGAGTCATAACTGTTAACTTACACTTTTTTGGTGTGAGATATGTGGGATTACGAAGGGAGGGGTGGACGGGTGATTACTGCCAGTGCAGGGAAGCAAAGGAGATCACACAGAAACTACAGACGACAACCTGCTTCCTGTCGGGGGTGAGCGGGACGTACCTACGGATGTGGTTTCCTTACTTTGGGGGATTCGCACAACGTGCTGGCCTAAAACGTGGTTGGCGTTGCAAACCTAAGGATCAATTCAGCGTTGTCCATCCTGCCAGCAGATGCTTGCGCAGGAGAGCTGCAGCAGGGCTGCGGTCTGGGGAAAGCCCCCATGCAGACTAGACTACCCTATGTCGTACAAAACAGAAAATCAATTGCAGATGGCTGGATGGGAGGTTTCCCTCCCCCCTCCCGTTCCTGTAATCTTTCGGATATTTCCTGATTAAAACCCAGGGTATTTTTTTTTCCTTCCTCGTTTGGGGTATTTTTTTTCTTTCGTTCGTTGGTTGGTTTTTTTTTTTTTTTTTTTTTTTTGCAGCAATCATGCCTGCAGCTCACGCTCCCTTTTTTGCAGCCGGGGTAGGCGGAGAATCTGGGCCGGAAGCCGAGGAGGGAGGGGGAAATCCGTGGGCTTTTTTCAGTCCCGCCTGCACGGTCATCTCCGCCTCCTCCTCCTCCTCCTCCGCGAGCTCTGGCTTGTGTCACGGGCGCTGACGACAGCAGCCTCCTCCGCATCCCGTCGCCATGACAACCTTTTGTTGCCTCCAACGCTCGAGTGGTCCAGCCGAGGAGGGGGGCAGCAGGGGCGGTATATAGGCAAGGCTTGGGTGGGGGGGAACCAGGGAAGGAAACTCCAGTTCCCCACCCAGAAAAGAGGAAGGCTGGAGAAATCCTGCTGGAAGGAGAGGAGCTGGACGGGGAGGACAGAAGAAAAGAGATTTATTATATTGATTAATATAAATAGTACAGACGCTGCTTATACAGAGTGGGCTATTTGGAAAGAGGAGAGAAGGAAGAAAAGACAAATCCATCTGGAAACTGAGAAATCCTCAGCCTTCTTCCCCAAGGAAGAGAGCAGATTTCTTGGCTTGGAAGAGTTGGGGGAACTGTCCTGAAAGTCTCCGTTGAAAAACAGCACTGATTGGTAATGTTTTCCATCTTTCTCCTGCAAAACTGGGCGTTGAGGATTAACTGGAGTTGCTGTTTTTGTAAATTCAGGAATAATTATTTCTAAGGTGGAGCCTTGGGGAGGAGAAGGGGATACAAGGAATTGAATATTTGGGAGTGGGATGGCCTTTGAGACTGAAGAACATCCAATGAAGTAATTGGGGTGTGTGTGAATGAGTGAGCTGCCCCCAAATGCTGAGAGAGACTAAGAAGAAGGGTGCATGCCATCATATTTATATATATTTATATAAATGGGTACATCATATAAATTTAATAAACATGTTGTGATTAGCTGAGGTGGGGAGCAGATCGACTTGTTTTAAAATTGTGACCAACTATAATAACTACCATGGCTTTACAAGACTTGTGGCCACGTACTGTACAAAATGTGAGCAGAGAATTGCTCAGTTGCTGTTAGAACACAACTCAGCTAAATCTTGACTAGATGACTTCTGAAGGAAGGAGAATTGGAGATGAAGAATTATTTAAGGGCTATTAAAGAGAGCTCAGAACTGAAGCCGGATACAAAGATGGTGCCCTTTGAGAGGAATGGAAGGGGACTTGTGACTGGGCAAAAGTCAAAATGGAGTTGGAATGACTGCTCAAAAAGTTGTGATAAACAAAGAAGATGGATTTTGGCAAGATTCTGTTGAGGTGAGGTTGTGTTCTCAAACTAGAGCACAGAGCTGAACGAGATGGGCAGTTGACACTGGGCGAGCTTACATTTATTTTGTTTTATATCTTAATAATGTTTATTGTTTGCCCAGCATTGCAGGGATAACTATATGTTGGAGAAATCATGTATAATTCAGGGGTTAAAATCAAGTATGTAAATACAAGTAAGTATGGTCTGCATCTTTTAAAGTTTGAAAACTAGATAATTCAGCATCCTAGATGTATCTTTGGAGAAGAAAGTTTGAAACCAGGAGGTTTTGAGGGAAATGGAAAATGAAGGAATAAAGTAGCTGGCAGCTGAAATCAGAATACCCAAAGAATCTCTGCAGATGAAACTAGGAGGCAAAACTAGATAGGGAAAACAACGTAAATAAAATTGGAAGTGGACATTTTAGAAGCAGCATATTTATTAGTTCACCCTTATTCTACCCAAAATGCAAGCATACCTGAATTGAAAAGGGGAAACTATTTTTTTCAGAATTTGGGCTGTGAGGTTATGGCACAAGTTACAAGTTTCAAGGTAAATGGGAGGACAAATTGGCTTGCCGCACTATATCCTACTCTTATATAAAGAACTCGTAAATAGCATCATATTCTTAAACCTGCAATCCTATCCTGAAAGACCTTGGGACATTCTGAGACATCATCTATATTCCACGAGCACACCAGATAGCAGTAGAAAACCTGATCTTCCTTTTAGGAAAGGAAGGGGTTTTTGTTTTTATTTTTAATTTAGATCTTCAGTCAACAACTGGGGCAGAGAAGCAAAACCTATGGGGAACAGTGAATGCAAACTGGACTTTTCTTCTCCTGATAAAAGGTGAGGAGAACCTTTGGTGCCAAAACTCCCTTTGCACCAATCTTGAGGGAATATGAGTCACAATTTAGCATCAGAATTTTCCCCACCCTGATTTTTGAGCCCATAGCTGTGGTGGTGAAAGAGGGAGGGGTGAGAGAGGTGGCTGGGAAATGCGCATTAACAGTCCAGGCTGGGGCGAATCCTAGGGATAGTAGAGAGTCCACTGCCCCTTTAAGAGGCTGTCTGCTCCCTCCCCCATTCCTCCATTTTCCCATCATCTCCATTATCCCCCCCCTCCTGCGCATTATTCCTGCAGCATCATAGTTTCTAGTTTCTTCCTCCCCCTCCCCTCCCTGTCTAGCCTAAGAAACAGGGGTCCCTTCTGGATGTCAGCAGCTTCCGGAGAGCTCCAGAGGAATGATTGAGGTATGATATGGGGAACTATTTAGCTTTGTGGAGAAGTAGAACTTGCTGATGTTTGTGGGTTGACCACCTTTATTTCAGGCCTCCGTGTACTTATTCCTCCCTGTTCTTTCTCCCTTCGTTCCTTCTGTTCCACTGCCAGTTTTGTCCTGCTTCAACATATCGTTTGCTGACTGCAGCTGATTCATCTATTGGTTTTGTTGGCTCCAAAATCTGTTTCTAACTCTCTCCCTTACCTCATCCCGTATCTCTGCAGGTCCCATGCTCCTCTCTTACGAAAAAGTAACAGCAAAACACTTCGTTAGAATAAAAAAGAGAGTTAAAGCTTTGCATTTGGGGGGCAGGTCAAGTTTAAGACATGAGAAATCAGAATATTAACCTTTGATTGTTAAAAGTGTACCAATTCTTAAGACTTTGCTTCTTTTCTCTCTCGCTCTTTCTCTCACCCTCCAACCCACCCCTTAGCTGTTATGTATGCTGAACCATCCACCATGAATTTCCGGAACCATGGGTTCTTTCGCCGTTCTCCACCCACTTCGGTGGCGAAGCCAACTCCTGCTGCCGGGAACACATTGTCAGTCTTAGGAGGCATTGCTCAAATCTCTCCTTGTCTCTATCTCTGCTCTGGCAATGCGGCGTCGAATAGACACATGGTGTACTCCCGGGCAGTGACCTGTGTGGTAAACGCTACCATGGAAATCCCCAACGCCAACTGGCCAGATATTGACTATGTGAAGGTGCCTGTTCCGGACCTCCCCCATGCTCCACTGTCTTTGTACTTTGACTCCGTGGCCGATAGGATACACCAGACAGGGAAGAAGAACGGAAGAACTCTAGTCCACTGTGTGGCAGGTGTCAGTCGGTCTGCCTCCCTCTGTATTGCTTACCTAATGAAATATCATCGGTTGAGCCTCTTGGATGCTCATGAGTGGGTGAAGAGCAGGCGACCGGTTGTAAGGCCCAACGTAGGTTTCTGGAGACAGCTTATTGAATATGAACGCAAGCTGTTTGGCAAGAACACCGTCAAGATGGTGCCTTCACCCATTGGGTTGGTCCCAGATGTCTATGAAAAGGAGACCCGTGGGCTGGTCCCCTTGTGGAATTTGAGATAAAGACTATCATTGAAATGGGCTGTGGGCCACCTTGACTTAGAATGAAAAAGTTCCACCATGTTAGGATGTTTAACAGGATTGTTCAGTGTGGTGGATTTTAATAAGAAATTCTGTTAATGGTAGTCTTTTTCTAAGACCTTGCAATATGAGATCATGGAAAAGACATGAGTTGCTTGAACTTTTCAGTGTGATAGACAATGCTGTTTGTTATCATCCTGTCAAACATTCCTAAGAACCTGTATCTTGCTTACAGTCTGAGATGAGAAATGGTTAAACACAAACGTACAGGCAGTAAAGATTACTATTTAACGCAGAGACTCCAAGGTCTTTATAAATTAATCTTTGCATAGTAAGGAGAAATATCTTTCCCTTTTCTTCCCCCTTCTGCTTCAAGAGTTTTAGAAATCCTTCCTTGGGTTTGCTTTAATTTGAATAAGCACAGTACACTTTCCTTTCTGAAGAATTAAGCCCTAAGGTGATGTGAATTAAAACAATGATTCATCCAAAGAGTCAGGATTTTGAGGAATGCACATAAACTCTAAAGAGCAGTAGCCAAGAAGCTGAGGATAGCACAACTATCAACAATAGTTATAAGATGCCAACTCTACAAGGGAATGTTATTTCATACATACATTCAGTAAGCAGGTTGCAACTTGGCCACAGTATTCCGCTCTTGTGGGGAAGATAGGAATTTTTGAACATTGGCTCAGGTTACACTTAAACAGGGTAGAGATGTAATTGGAAAGGGATTGAAGAACAAATACGCCTGTCAAGCCTTCTTCATACCCCTTGTTAAGATTCCATAGTACGTACCAGGGAAGCTTTCTTAACACACTGCACCTTAAAAAAAGAAAGAAAAAGAAAACATCTCGAAAGTTAATACTTTCATAGTCAGGCGGGAAGTGCGACTTCAAAAATGTTTAAAGCTGCACAGTAAACAAGTAGTAGAGTCACAATTTGGCGTGAGCAAGCAATCCTGTAGTTTTGATTATGTGATTTGTAGTATTTTATAACAAGGAGGATTCCTAAGTGAAGCCTTTCTAATACAAAAGTATAAAATTGGATGGTATATCCAGAGTTGAGCGAATATCAAGTGAGATCTAAGTGTATCAAGGTGTTTCTCAACCTTGTCAGATTTAAGATATGTTGACTTCAATTCCCAGAATTCCATCCAGTATGGCTGGCTAGGGAATTCTGGGAGTTGAAGTCCACACATTTTAAGCTTACCAAGGTTGAGAAACACAAGTATAGTAGAGGATATCAGATAGGAGGTAGGGTGTCCAAACTGGTCAGCATATCAAAATGGTTTAAATTAATTATTAAAGCATGTGTTTGGACAATACATCCATAATAATTATAGGAAGATGTAATAAAAATGGAGAAAGAATGAATCGGATTCCCTTTATATATGTTGAAATGGCAACTCCCAACTTTTATAGTCAGTATGGCCTTGATCAGTTGTCATTCCAGTATACTGAGAGGGAGAACCATGTTTAAAAAAAGCTGTCTTAAAAGAACTCTATTAGGGACAAATTCTGGATGTCAGCCTAAATGGAAGAGGCCCAGATGTGTTTTTGTATAAACATCACATAAGCATAGTCAACTCTATAACCAACAAGTGGTCTATGCTTATAAAAGAAATGGTTTAGCAACATTTCATAACTCTATTTCTCTGTCCAGAACAAAGAATATAGTTCATCCAACTTCATACCCATCTTGATTGTATTGACTTTTCAATACAATTGCTAACTCAGCTTTTCACAAAACAGTATCTTAAGTTTTATATGGGAGCTGAAATCCACATTTTTGCTGAGATTGAGAAACATTGGTATAGGCCATCTAAGCAAGCAATTCAAATCTATTTCATTTATGTAGATAGAAAATAGTCACTTCCCACATTTACAATAAAGAAACTGAAAGGATAGCATGTTTTTTGGAAGCAAAGTTGTCTTTCTTATAGATCTTACTTTTTAATGGATATATAACAGCTTGGATATCTGCCATGAAAAATGTCTCATATATTGGCATTTTACATGGGGACGGGGATATGATAATACAGGGGGATATGATAATACTGTGAGGAAGGAAACTCAGATGGATTATTTTAACTTTTCATTTGTACGCTGTGCTAGCACTTCCTGCACCATAATTATTAGTGCCTGTAAATTTGTCTAGTGAAGGACAATGACATATAAATGCACAAAGCTAAAATTTTCATTCCCACCCCCTAGATATTTTTAGTTATTCAAGCAGGGGTATTAACAGAAGGGTTTGGGACTGAAAGCCATGACTAGAAGTGACCCACCTCTCTACCTATAAGAAGGAAACATAAATTTTCCGATATCTCAATCTCCCTTCCTCTTATAGTATTTGCTTCATTTTATCAGAGTTCAGAGACGAAATAGGGTCAGATCTTTGTAATATTTGGATAGAAACCATTGGTGGTGTCCACAAGTAGAACTTCAAGAGACTCCAAGGAAGAATTTGCTCCAGAGTTTTTCACACAAGCTGGTCTTCCTTTCAAATGGTAAAATGTGTGTATATAATAAGTTATCTAAGGTTCTGCTTCTTAGCCTTGGCCACTTGAAGATGTATGGACTTCAATTCCCAGAATTTTGGGATTTGAAGGCCACACATCTTGAATTCGCCACGGTTGGGAAACTTTGATCTAAGGTCTCTGTATACATTGTACATAGAAAAGGGCTGTCGATATAAAAGTTCTGATGTCTTTTGACTTCAGTGACAAAAAGGTCTATATATAAATAAATAAATAAAGTGAACCAGTAGCTTCTTGCAGCATTATTGCCAGTTTTATGGTGGGTGTATTATTATTATTTTTTTAATATTTATATATGATATATAGAAAGATTTAGAGTACAGCTCAAGGGAGATAAGCTGTTTGTGCAGAAAGTTCCAGATTTAATCCTTGATAGCTTCAGTTATCTCTTCCTGTGATTGTGCATACTCAGAATACATTCCCCACGCTGGATCACCAGTACTCTTTGAATGAGGAAGGAAGGAAAGTGATGTTAATCATGAGAATGAATAGACCGAGACTGGCATACTGTGGGCGGGAACTTTTGTCTTAAGAAACGCCAATCTCTCACCCCACCTGAACTCTTGATGGATTCAGGTAGCCCTTAACTTACAATCATTCGTTTAGTGACCAAGGTTACAACAGCATTGAAAAAAGTGACTTATGACCCAGTCCTTGCACCTATGACTTGCAGAATCCCTATAGTCAGATCATCAAAATTTGGGCAGTTGACAACTGGCATGGATTTACAATGGTTTGAGTGTCCCAGGGTTATTTGATTTCCATAGATAGATAGATGGATGGATGGATGGATGGATGGATGGATGGATGAATAGATAGAAGATTCTTAATTTGGGAAGCCAGATTTGCTTACCAATTGCAGTGATTCATTGGGAAAAAAAGATTGTAGGTACAACTCACTTAGTAACCACTTTGCTTAACAATGGAAATTCTGGTTCCAATTGCAGGCCTAAGTTGAGGACTACACTATCTTTCAGACCTAAATGAAACTGGTTAAGAATTGCCACACTCTTCTTCCTCTCTAAATATTGAGACTCTTAAATAGAATCTGAATCAGCAAGGTCTAAATAGTTCCAGCAAGACCCATGTAGAGACATAGCATGCATGGAAACACTGACAAAGTGGCAGCCATTTTCCTGTATGCCAACTTTTTCAAAGTTGGGACCGTTAAGATGTGTGGACTTCAATTCCCAGAATTCCTGCCAGTATGCTATTCCCATACTATCCAATGGATAGGAGATCCCCATCTAGTTCCTTCTGATCACGTTTATTGATGTTATGTTGCAACTATGTAATAGGGAAATGGACTATTGTGGAATCGTGCACTAAGAAAATGGCTGCTACTGAGAAGACCATGAAAGTTCCATTTCCCAGGTTAGGCAGCCTGTTGCATTAAACTTAGCAACTGAGTCTATTTAAAATAAACTATAGCAAGGCAGCCATTCCAGAGATAGATTTGTTCATTATACAGGAAATGAATTAATCAGCAAACAGAATACAGAATAAGAGTTGGAAGGGATCTTAAAGGTCTTCTAGTCCAACCCGCTACTCGAATAGGAGATCCTATACCATTCCAGACAATTTCTTCTTGAAAACCTCCAGTGATGGAGAACCCACAACTTCTGTAGATAAGCCATTCCATTGATCCTTTTCACTGACAGGAAATTTCTCCTTAGTTCCAGATTGGATCCTTTTTGATAAGTTTCCACCTATTACTTCTTGTCCTGCCCTCAGGTACTTTAGAGCCGGCCCCCTTCTTATCTGTGACAGCCCCTCAAGAACTGAAAGACAGCCATCATGTCACCCCTAGTCCTCTTCTCTCTATTAGACTAGAAATACCTATTTCCCTTAACCATTCATTGTATGTTTTTGTTTCCAGTTGCCCAATCATTTTTGTTGTTTTGTAAAAAATGTGAAGCTAGTACATGCAGGTGAAAATACCTACTCTTGAGTTAAAGTCCAAAACATATTTTATTTAACAAATATACCTTTGTTTTCATAAAATGTTAAAAAAGTCACATGTTCAGAGATAGTCACTCAGATCCCATAACAATGGGCACATGAAATCTAGCCCAGAAAAAGATTCAGAAAACGGGAGGAATGCCTCATAAATGTATTAAGGAAGTGATACTCTACATTTTTACATGGAATGAAAATGAAACGAGTCCCAATTCAAACCACAGCTTTTTATATTCCCACTGAGGAAAGTCTATGCTTGAGGAAAGCGGTCACAATGTAGACAGTTCAAAAATGATGTAATGGCAACGTTGACAAAACTTGTTAAAAGGGAAAAAAAAAAAAAAAAAAACGGATTTCCTTCTGTGTCCATTTTCAGAAAATTTGCTTTCAACTGAGGTACTTCTGTTCCTTTGCCCAGGGAAAATGCAATAATAATAATAAAAAATAAGGATAATGTATCAGGAATTTATTTTCTTTGCATTCTGAGCAGAAGAAGGGGAAAAAAAGATTAAGCATAGAAGATGTTCCCTCGTCGCTGTTTGATTAACTAAACCCCTTTTTCCTCCCCAAAGAAGATCAATGAAATCAATAAATGCCGGCCTCTCCTCCACCTCAGTCAACCGCTTTCCCCGTCTGAACTGATCACTCCTCGAAGTTGGGACCAGTCTGTCGTGTGACGGCGAACGATCGGCTCCTCTGGCGAACTGGGTGACTCCTGGGGCTTATTGTAAAGGCTCCAGACTTTGCGACGCTTTGGACGGCCTGTGTGGAGAGAAGAGGAAAGTTTTCTAGATGTGCTAGGACAGTGCCTCTATTGCATGGAAACTGATGGGCACCTCTGGATTAGACTCACTTACTCTCCATCAGGCTCCGAAGGCCATGAAAAGACAGATTCAGGTTCTTCTAAGCAGTTTCCTTTATTGCTTCTCACCCCTAGAGAGGAATCTCGCCAAACTAAAGCAGGCTACTTACACCACGAAGCACATACAGGTAGTCGTCATTTTACAACAATTTATTTCATGACCGTTCCAAGTTACAACGGCACAGAAAAATGACTTTATGACCAGTTTTCACACTTACAACTGCTGCAGCACGTCTATGGGTCACATGATCACAATTCGGGCCCTTGGCAACTGGCATGTATTTATGACAATTGCACTCTTCCACGGCCATGTGATCACCCTTCCAGTCGGCTTCTGACAAACGAAGTCAATGGGGGAAGCCAGATTTGCTTTATGACTCCATGATTCACCTAACTACAAGAATTCACTTTACCCCTAGAGGAAAAAAGGTTGTAAAATCAGGCCCAACTCAATAATGCCTTGCTTAATAACAGAAATTTTGAGCTCAATTGTGGTTGTAAGCCAAAGACTGTCCATACTCTGGGAATTATTAGGGAGCAGTTGTCTTCACCCTCTTTCTCCCACACACACTATACCAGGGGTCAGCAACCTTAAACACTCAAAGAGCCACAAAGGTACTAACCGGAAGCTGACTGTTCAATTCTGGAGCCAACCGGAAGCCGGTTCCCCCCACCATAGTCTCCTCCTAGCGTGACATCCTTTTTCCTCTGCTGACCATAAGTTCGGTTCCCACACCATAGACTCTCCTCCTAGCATGGCATCCTTTTTCCTTTTACTGACTGGTGACAGGGAGCCGCAGCAGAGGGTTGAAAGAACCACATGTGGCTCCAGAGCTGTGGGTTGCTGACCCCTGCACTATACAAACTCTTCTGTCTTTTATTCATCTTTTGCACTCCCTCCCTCCCGGGCATTTGGAATACATTCTATCATACTCTCTCAATGTGAAAGGCCTCAATTTAAAGTTCGTTCACGTTCTGCACCCAGACAGAATCAGCCCTCCTGTCATGTAGCCAAATGAGGCTGTTGCGGGGAACCTGAGGGATGGTAACAAGGCTCCGGAAGAAGAAAGCTGCAGCCCATCTCTCTTTAAGCTGGTTAGCTGCTTTCTGAGGTACAGCTAGTCCTCAATTTATGATCAAAATTGCTGTTGCTAAGCAAGACAGTCGTTAAGTGACCTTTGTCCATTTTACAACCTTTCTTGTCCCAGTGGTTAAGCGAATCATTAGTTATCGAGATATTAACATGGCTGTTAAGTGAATTTGGACTCTGCTTGCCAGAAGGTTGCAAGAGGTGATCTCGTGACCCCAGGACACTTGCAACGGTCATAAATATGAGTCAGTTGCCAAGCATCTGAATTTTGATTACGTGACCATGGGAATGCTGCCTCGGTCATACATATACAAAATGGTCGTAACCCCCTTTCTTCAGTGCTGTTATAATTTTAGTCCCTACAAGCAGGGGTCTCCAACCTTGGCAAATTTAAGCCTGGCGGATTTCAACTCCCAGAATTCTCTCAGCCAGCAAAGCTTTGAGAATTCTGGGAGTTGAAGTCCTCCAGGCTTAAACTTGCCAAGGTTGGAGACTGCTGCCTAAACGAATGGTTGTTAAGTCAAGGACGACGTGTAATGGAAGATGCTGTTGTATCATTAGTGCTAAAGAAAAACTCAACGGTCAGTCCATTTAGTCATTTAGTGACTGTTCAAAGTAACAATGGCACTGAAAAAAGTGACTTATGACCTGTCTTTGCACTTATGAACATTACAGCATCCCCGCAATTGCAGAATCTCAGGGTCACATGATCACCATTTGCGAACTTTCCAGGTGGCTTCTGACAAAATCAATGGGGGGAAAGTCTGATTTACTTAACAACTGCAATGATTCGCTCAACAACTTAGGCAAAAAGCATTGTAAAATCAGATGTGACTCACTTATCAACCACCTTACTTAGCAATGGAAGGTCCCAATTGTGGTCATAAGTCAGGGACAGCCTGTACATATAGGTATCCTATTACCCCCAAAATAAGACCCAACCAGAAAATAAGGTGTAGCATGATTTTTCAGGATGCTAGTAATATAAGCCCTACTCCAAAAATAAGCCCCAGTTAAGATCGCCAGCAGGCGGAGGCGTTTAGTACTGTATTTCCCCCCCAAATAAGACCTAACCAGAAAATAAGCCATAATGCGTCTTTTGGAGCAAAAATTAATATAAGACCCAGTCTTATTTTGGGGGAAACACAGTAGTTCTCTACTTACAACCACAATTGAGCCAAAATTTCTGTTAAAGTGAGACATTTGTTAAGCGAATTTTGCCCCATTTTAGAATCTTTTTTGCCACACTTGTTAAGTGAATCAGTGCAATTGATAAGTTGGTAACATGGTTGTTAAGTGAATCTGGCTTCTCTGTTGATTTTCCTTGTCAAAAGGTTGCAAACAGTGATGACATGGCTTTGGGAAACAGCAATGGTCATAAGTATGGCCACGTATGTATTCCATGACCCCGAAGGAGCTGGAGGAACTACGTAGCTATATAGATAAGAATCTGGCCAGGGGGTTTATTCAATCTAATAGGGCACATATGGCTGCCCCAGTCCTCTTTAGGGAGAAGAAGGATGGGGGTCTCCGCCTGTGTTGATTTCCGTGGTCTAAACGCAGTAAGCGTGGAGCCTTTATACCCACATTATCTGTTGGTAAAGGATTTACTGGCCACATTATCCACAAGTAAAATCTTCACGAAACTGGATTCCACCAAACCGAGCTGGATTATCTAGGGTATAGGATATCTCAAAAAGGGTTGGGGATGGATCCCAAGATTACAACAGTGTTGGAATGGCAAGCCCCAGGGACGAGGAAACAACTGCAGAGTTTCCTCAGTTTTACTAATTTTTTATAGGCAGTTTATCCTAGTGTTTGCCCAGATAGCATTACCTCTTACTAGTCTCCTATGCACACAGGGGATCACTGTAAACCAAGGCCAGGTCAGCGTATAGTATGGACTCCTGATTATCAGAAGGCCTTTGAAGAGTTGAAGGCATAGTTTGCCTGTGAGCCCATACTACAACACCAGAACCAACAGAAACCATTCATAGTTCAGGCAGATGCAAGTGATGTGGCTGTCGGGGCTATGTTGTTGCAAACTTTAACACTCATGGCCAATTACAGCCATGTGCGTATACATCCAAGAAATGTACCCCTACTGAGAGGGGATGGGCGATATGGGAGGAGGCGTTTGCTGTTCGGTGGGCACTCCTTACCTGGAGACGTATATTGGAGGGGGCGAAGACCCCGTTTGAGGTTTGGACGGATCATAGAAACCTGATAGCCTTACAAACCCCCGGTCTTCCCAGAGTCTACTAGGATTGGCTACGGATTGCAATAACCCAAGAGGTTTCCCTGGTTTCGGTTTGGACTTTGCACAGATAGGACAGCTTCCACCCTAGCACCAATGGTTCAGCTGAGAGGGCCCACGCTATGGTGGAGCGCTACCTGAGGTGTAATATCTCATATCAACAATCAGATTGGTCACACCTATTGCCACTTGCTGAGGTAGCTTATAATAATGCGGTGCATTGCAGCACTAGGTTTACCCCATTCCAAATAGTTACAGGATGTGAATTCCTTGCTATATCTGAACTGGAAACACCATCAGATACAGGGGCCTTACCGAATGAATGGGCTGATAGAATATGAACACTATGGCCGCAGGTCAGAAAAGTGTTGCCAAGCATCTGAATTTTGATCCCATGATCATGGAGATGCTATAAAGGTTGTAAGTGTGAAAAATAGTCACAAGTCACATTTTTCAGTGTCATTCTAACTTTGAACGGTCACTAAATGAACTGTTTTAAGTAGAGGACTACCTGTAGACGCCGCTTAACTTCTCATGCTCTTTTGATCTCCTCTCCAATTTCCTCTGAGAAAAGTTTAATAAAACTTAAACAAAGCAGGGTCTTAATAACAGTGTAATTATGCAAAAATGGGATGATTTGCACCTTTGGAGTTCAGAAATTGGGGAAAAAAAGAACAAAAGAAACACCCTGACCTCTGCATAAAAAACGGAGCCAATCAATGTATTTGGATGGTGAGTGGAATTGTATTATTTGCTATTTCTCTGGGCTGCCATCTTGTGGGAGGGGGTCTTCCCAAACTTAGTTTCCCAGAAAAATTCCAGCATCCTAACGAAGCATCTGGACTTTTATATTAGCCAGCTCCTCCCCTCCACAGCCACTTTACCTTCTGTAGCAATAATATTGTTGATATCAAGAGAAGCCACTTCGGCTGCCTCTTCCCGCTTCTGCTTTAGTGCTTTGCACTTGGCTAGAGATGGAGTTCCTGAGGAAAGATCGATTGTGGTGCTTTAACATGTAATTTGAAAAATTTACATTTCAATTCAAACCCAGATTGCCTTAGCACAAATATAATTTCTTTGATAACAGCTCAGTCTATTTTGTTAGCCACCCAGTAAGGTTTTCATTTATGCATTTATCGCTTAGTGTGCCATGGCAACTCGGTGAGCTGTAGCCTATTCCAGAACCCAAGATTAAAAGAAACAATGGCTTAGCCATCTGTGATTCTAGTATCCTTTCTGAAGCAGCTCCCCACACGGAGATTCGCATAGCTCAGCTTAATAATAATGGTTGAATTATGTTATTTATTTTATCCCACCTTAATTGTTTTTATAAATAATTCAAGGCAGCAAACATATCTAATACTCCTTCATTATCCTACTGTATTTCCCCTCCTCAACAAACCTGTGAGGTTAGTTGGCTGAGAGTTAGTGACTGGCTCAGTCACCCAGCTGTCTTTCATGCCTAAAACAAGAGTAGAACCTATTGTTTCCTGGTGATTGGTCCAAAGTCACCCAACCAGCTTTTGTCCCTAAGGTGGAACTAGAACCCACTGTATCCTGGTGATTGGTCCAAAGTCACCTGGCTGGCTTTCATGTTTATGGTGGGACTAGAACTCGTCTCCCAGGTTCTAACCTGGTGCCTGGCTATGCCTTACATCAACTACCATTAACTAACCTTTTATGCCAAGACTTTCCAGCTCTTCTTTGAGAACCACTATCTGAGCTTTGCGGGAGTGGCAACCTGCCAGGAGCTTTATGTAATTCCGACGCACACCACATTCCCGGATATAGCGTTTCAGACGTTGGACGGAGGGATGTTCCTCTTTCTTTCCAGAATGATGCTTCTTATCCTACAGCAGATGAGGAGATGGGTTAACAACCCAGCTCACAATAAGCTTTCCATGAACAATCTTGAACAGATCAGAGAAAGGCAATCTTTATTTTTTAAAGCAATTCTGCAGTATTTTGCAACCTTGGCAGCTTTAAGATGGACGGACTTCAACTCCCAGAATTCCCCAGCTAGCCCTACTAGCTGGGGAATTCTAGGTTCACCCATCTTAAAATTGCCAAGGTTGCAAAACACTGCTGTATAGGTAGTCCTTGATTTACAACGATTCGTATTGTGGCTTAATTTACAAAGGTACTGGAAAAAAAGTGACTTATAACTATTTCTCACACTTATGACCCTTGCACATCCCCATGGTCACGTGATCAAAATTCGGGTGCTTGGCAACTGGCATGTATTTATGACAGTTGCCGTGTCCCAGGGATCACGTGATCACCTTTTGCAACCTTCTGACAAGCAAAATCACTGGGGAAGCCTGTAGAGGTGCTGCGACTGCAATTCCCAGAATTCCCTATCAGAAAGCAGCTATTCAGCAAACTTCCTTAAAATTCTGGAACTGGACATTTGATACATATGACAGGGCCCAGACTGAATGGGACTGTACCAAGTTTGGTATGGGATTTTCTTTTTTCTCCCAGCAGTAAGGACCGGTTTGCACAACTTGTTTAAGGGGATATCAGAACGTGTGTGAATGGCTTGAAGAGAAATGGCCTGGCTAACATGGCCTTTAGTGCAAAGAGATTCCCCAGTCTTCTTGTACCCTGGAGTTGTGTTTCAGATTACAAAAGGTGATCATATGACCCTGGGGCACTGCAACCCTCATAAATATGAATTGCCAAATGTCTGAAATTTTATCACGTGACTATGGGGTTGCTGCAACGGTCATAAGTGTGAAAAATGGTTACAAGTCATTAGGATTGTAAGATCATTAAATGAACTGTGGTAAATCGAGGACCACCTATACAGATAATCCTTGACTTAAAACCATAATGGGGACCAGAATTTCCATTGCTAAGCGTAGCAGTTGTTAAATGAATTGTGCCCGATTTTACAACCTTTTCTGCCACTGTATTGTGAATTACTTCAGTTGCAGGGGTGAAATCTACTTACCCTCCCTACTGGTTTGGGAGTGCGCGCGCCGTGCTCGTGTGTGTGCCATTATCACATCCAATTTTTGACCCTCTGCACATGCAAGAAGGCTTTGCGCATGCATGGAGGGTTAAAAAACAGGAAGTAACAACGTCCAGGCGGGTGATGGAGCCTTGCGCCGCCGCCACTGGTTCGCTGAACTACCAGCTCACGCGAGCCAGACAGAACCGGTAAGATTTCACCACTGTTCAGTTGTTCTGTGAATTACATGATTGTTACATGAATCTGGCTTCTCCCATTGACCTTGCTTGTCGAAAATCCCCTCAGAAAGTTGCAAATGGCAATCAGATGACCGTGGACATTGCAACCATTGTAAACCCATGCCGGTTGCCAAATGCCCCAATTTTGTTTACATGACTGTGGAGATGCTGCGATGGTTGTAACGGTTATGTCACTTTTTTCAGTGCCTCTGTAATTTCAAATGGTCACTAAATGAATGGCTGTAAGTCAAGGACTAGCACATATTTTTTGAAGTCCCCATGCAGATGTCCCTTACCTTTCCAAGATGGTGCTGCTGAGAAGTGGTGGGCTCGTCCTCTTCTGAGCTGGAGTCCTCTTCCTGGCTGGATTCCTCCTCTTGTTTCTCCTTGGTAGCACTCCTCCTTTGGAGCTTTTTCGTTCTTCTCTGCTGCTGGTTTTGGAATTTTTTCTTTCCCTTAAACTCACTTCCCAGATCCTCAGAACCAAGCACGGAGATTTCTTTACCGATGCTCTTTCTCTGTGACTTCTGAGCTGCTCTCTTCTTCAACTTTTCCTCCCCTTGACTTGAGTCAGACCCAGAGACATGCTTGCTCTCCTTTCCCAGTGCCCTCGGATCTCCATCCTCGCTTTCATCTGACTCACTTTCTGACGGGTGACTTATTAGAGCCGCTTTCCTAGGCTGGTCTTGATTCGTCTCGCTTTGCGGTTCCCCTTCACTGCTAGTGGGATCCTGCACACACTTCTTCTCTGCTTCTGCACTCTTATGCTCCCCTGACTCACTTTCAGGTTCTTCACTGGTGGTCTCCTGAATCCTTTGCGTCATCTTCTTCACTTCCTCCGGTTTCTTCCTGCCCAGGTCTTCCCTCTGCAACTTCTTCCTCCCCCCTCTCTCTTTAGGCTGTCTCTTGGGTTTGTAGTGATTTCCAGTCTGCTGGCTCCCTCTTTCTCCCCTGGCCCTCTTTGCTCCCTCTTTCCTCATTGGACTTTGACCTGCAGAATCCTCAGAACTGCTCCCCGAATCATCTATAACTCTACCCTTCCTCCTGCATTGGCTGTCTGCCATCTTCTTCTGCAAATTACATTTTTGATCAAGACCACTTCCTGAGGCATCCTCACTCTCATCCCCCTTCGAACCCTTCTGGGTTCCAGGCCCCATCCTCTGCTGTGCTTTATTAGTACTGAATGACTTCTTCTCTTCACTCTCACTCTCACTCCATTCTCTTTTCTTTTCAGAGATTTCTTCTACCGCTGACAGATCAGTTCCTCCCTCTGATAGGCTCCTTTCCTCTCTTTGCTTATTCATCATCCTGTTTTTTGCTTTGCTTTTGGGATCAGTAGCTTTAAACCCTTTGTTCACCTTTTTCTTGAAGTCTCTTTGCTTCAAGCTGTTCCCTTTGGTGACCTTCCTGTGTTCTTTGACCTCTTCTTCAAGGTCACTCTGTCCCGTATCTGTGGTGGTCTCCTCAGATTCACTCACCTCCCTTTTCTGCGAGCCCCTGATCCCCTGGCCCTTGGTTGATTTCCTGCTTCGCCCTCTTGCTTCCTGAAGGGATGATTTTCTTTTGCTCTTTGTAGTTTCCTCATTGCTTTCAGACTCAGCACTGTGATTTCCAGCTCCGGAGTCTTCTTGGTCAGAAGAATCCGAGAACATCCTGAGAAGTTTTGGACTCCCGTGGCGTGGCCTCTTCTTGGAATCAATCCCAGAATCCTTTTCATCAGAACTGACTTCTGAGAGACAAAAGAAAAAAGTGACAAATAGAATCGTGTTGGGGAAGGACAACTGTTACTCTAAAGTTGGAGAACCCAATCAGAAGTCTTGAATCTCAAAGCCTTGGATGCAGCACCTGAACAGCCCCCAAAATTGCCATTTTAATGTTACAGAAAGGGATATTGAGAACATGAGAATAAATTCTTTTTTTCTCTCAATTGTCCCAATTTTGAATGCTAGTTTGGTCCAGTGCAGAGGTAGGGAACTATGGCTCCTTTATGACTTGTGGACTTCAATTCCAAGAATTCAGGAATCCACAAGTCATAAAAGGGCCATAGATCCCTACCCCTGGTCTAGTGGTTAAGGCACTAGGCTAGAAAGTGGAGACCATGAGTTCAAGTCCTGCCTTAGCCTTGAAAGCTGGTTGGGTGACTTTGGGCCAATCACAAAAAGATCTGAGAGTTCTAGTCCCGCCTTAACCATGAAAGCCAGCTGGGTGACTCTGGGCCAGCTACTTTCTCTCAGCCCAACTCACTTCACAGGGTTGTTATTGTGGGGAAAATAGGAGAAAGGGGTTATTTATATTTACTGTCCTGAGTTATTTGTAAAAATAATAAAGGCAGGATACCAATAAATCTTCTTTTTTCTTTGGCTTTGAAACGGAGATGAGCACCGCCCCCTAGAGTCGGGAACGACTAGCACATATGTGTGAGGAAAACCTTTACTTTTACCTATAAATAATATAACAAAAATAAATACCCTCCCCTCTTTTTATCCTAGATTTGCCCACTTCTTGCATTCAGTCCTTAGAGTTCCAGCTAAGGCTGAAAAAGTTGCACATCCTTATGAATCTGTCGGGTTACTTGTGACAAATAAATTGTTGGCTGATAATAATATAACTTCAATTTTGGAAGTTCAGCTCCAAGTTAAATATATGCCCTGCACAACTCTCTTTCTTATCATTATGATTGGTCACTTATTTACCTACCCATAACCGCTGGTGCCTGGTTTTCATTAGGCTCTCTATTTTTCCCTTTAATTTTTTCCAAACCATTTCTGTTCCACTCTTAAAATTGAAAAGCACGTAAAAAAAACTTCTATGAAGGAAGAGGGAATGGAAAAGCAGGAGGTTAAAAAAAAAAAAAGAGTTCAATGGAATCAATACATGGCAACATGGATAACAGAAAAGCAGAGACAATAATTTATGAGAAAGGTGGAAGAAAGCAACAACTTCGATCTGGCTCCAGCAATCACTCCATCATCCAATCACCAGCCCTTCCCAATCAGGTGATTTGGGGTATATGGAAGTAGACTCCCGGAATGCAATGCTCAGCCAGTGAAGGGTAGGATATCTATTCCCTCCAGATTTTCTTTAAATTCCAGAAAGCATAATCAAGGTTCAAGGTTTATAGGATTGCAGGTCCAACACACTTGGAGGACAACAGGTGGCCCATCTTTGGGTTCAATGCAGTCTGACATTTGCTGAATTGAAGCCTGGCTAGAGACTCACTTGGAGCAGATGGAGGATGATAAAACAGTAGGTGGATGGTACTATATTGATTCCAAATGCAAATGAGGATGTTTTTATATCACAGAGCATTGATTTAGAAGATCATCACTGCAGGATGAACTTTAGTTCACTTGCATCTCTCTGGATTAAGGCAGAAATATTCTGCATAAATAAAGAACAAAAAAAAATCCCTGAAACAAAAAACAGACCCCTTTGCCCTCACATCCTAGCTTCCCATGGACAGATGTGAAGGGTTTGGTGCATATATACTTAACTCACTCACTGATTCACCTTGCTATCTGTCGCAAACTGTCATCAAGATACTATTATGGAGGGATCCTCAAAGGAGGTTAACTCTCATAGAGGGTGGGCAATTTTCAGGGAAATTATGAAAAACCAGTTTCTGTTTTAATAAAAGATCCTCTCTCAGTTCAACAGGAGTTTTATTGTGGAGATAAAATTAGAGAAGCTCTCCATTTATGGCACCTGGGCTGTTAAGAGCTCAAACATGCAATGAATAAATGATAATAATCCAATCCAAGGCTACACACTAGCCAATGAGTCTTTAGAAAAGCACGTAAGGCTGGAATGGGATGGCTCTGGTCTATTGCTATTTACCAGCAGTCAGAATTTTGCATGCTGGTGGTAATGCAGGAAATATAGAGTCCCCAAAGCTAATAGTCTGGTTCTCTATGAATCTATTTCTCCATTAAAATCATCTGAATTAGGGGTCATCACCATCTCTGATAGTAGCAAATTAATTATTATACAGTTTTTATTGGACCTAGATTCCTCTTGATTGAATTTTAGTGGATAATCTGAACTCTAGGTGAAGGAGGAATAAAAAATATCTACATGTCCCACACCATGCATGATACCATATATCTCTGGTGTTTCTCTTCATTTCGCTTCAGTGTAAGAAATATTATTGAGTCTGTAATCTGCACCTCTATAACTGTCTGGTTTGGTTCTGCAACCCAACAAGACAGACACAGACTTCAGAGGATAATTAGAACTGCAGAAAAAACAATTACTACCAACATGCCTTCCATTGAGGACCTGTATACTGCATGAGTCAAAGAGGGCTGTGAAAATATCTACAGACCCCTTGCATCCTGGACATAAACTGTTTCAACTCCTACCCTCAAAACGATGCTTTAGAGCACTGCACACCAGAACAACTAGACACAAGGACAGTTTTTCCCGAATGCCATCACTCCGCTAAACAAATAATTCCCTCAACACTGTCAAACTATTTACTAAGTCTGCACTACTATTAATCTTCTCATCGTTTCTATCACCCACCTCCTCCCACTTTATAAGTGTATGACTGTAACTTTGTTGCTGGTATCCTTAAGATTTATATTGACTGTTTCCCTATGACTATCATTAAGTGTTGTACCTTATTATTCTTGAAGAATGTATCTTTTCTTTTATGTAGTCTGAGAGCGTATGCACCAAGACAAATTCTTTGTGTGTCCAATCACACTTGGCCAATAAAGAATTCAATTCAATTCTAAAAAATCAAAACCTCAACTGCTGTGGTCTTTCCTCATGGGGAAGTCCCTGCTGCCTGTTATCCTTTATGTTTTTTTTCATTACGCCATATATCATAGATTTCTTTACAGCTGCAGAAAAACATAGGAAAGCCATTTTTCATGAACATGTATCAAAATTTGACAATAACTGTAAAGCCCAGTTTATATTTAGCTTCTACCAGTTTAAAAAAAAAAAACAGTGATATATTGGATAGTACCTGCTAAGCACCTAATCACATAAAAATACAATTACCTAACTTCTTTTCAATCTTTTGCCTTTTCTGCCCCTGTTCATTTTTAATCTCATCCTCCAAACTATGGGAGATATGAAGAGGTCTTTTGCGGTCTCCAGATTTGAAGGAATCCTGGGTTTCAGTCCTTAATTCTACATTGCTTGGGAGTTGATCAACCTGTGATGCATAACATTAAAGAGTGTTATAAACATATGGATCCATTTCATTATTTACCAAGACATAACATGTATGTTTTCTCCCCTCCTAAAACCAGCACCTTCATCTGGACCAGTTCTTCCTCTACCAGTTGTTTGAGCTGCTCCTTCTCCTGTTTGGATAGATTCTCCAGCCCAACATGGTCAAGATACTTCTTCCGAATGATGGCATGAGTGAGGATGCTGCAACAGACCATGAGTTATAAAGTCAACCACGCAATATGCCTTTATATGGTATAGTACTAGCCACTGTGGAAACCTTTTGGGAAAAGTGTATTTTTGAGGTTTGATGGCTAATAACACCACTTCTTTTGGAGTAGTACCATAAAATTATATACCAATGGAAAGATAATTTAATCAAGAATGTAATGCTTTTCAACCTTTGTTTGAGAGATAAAAGTGCTTTTTTCGTGAAATTCTAGATTTTAGGCCAAATTCCTGCAATCTGCATCCAACAGTCCTTGCACTCAACTTCAGATTGCATTGCGCCACCCAGATGATTTTCTTCTGTCACATAGGCACAGTCTCTTAATTCTTCTATCATCACTTGCTGTTGCGCACCTTTTCCTGCCTTTACCAGTGTGGTTTTGTAGTGATTGAGTCTCCTTATACCTCTTCAAAAATTTAGAAATGCCACCTTTGGTTAAGTTTCCACCAATTTTTTTTCTAATTTCTTTATAACTGTAGCCTTGTTCACTTAATATTATTTTACATTGCTTTCTGGGCGACCAATCAACTCTTTGCATCATTACTTTAATTTTATTACATTTTACAAGCTCACTAAATGAAAGAACACAAAAAAGCCCAACCAACTTGATAGCAATCACATAACACTAACAAATGTCCTTCTCTCAGCTTCAATACATGACATCAATAACTGAATCCTACTGTGATCTGATAGGCTCATTGCCAAAAGAAGATGACACATTGGCTCTCTAAACACTCATGCTCATTGGCTACAATCAGATGAAGGAAAGCTACCTGATATCAACCTAAGCAAGTTGTGCTTCCTTTTTCTGGTTATTTGGCTATAACTTTTCATAGAATACAGATAATTGAACAAACTTTGTTGCATTACATTCTTGATTAAATTATCTTTCCATTGATATATAATTTTATGGTACTACTCCAAAAAAAAAAAAAGTAGTGTTATTAGCCATCAAATCTCAAAAATACACTTTCCCCAAAAGGTTTCCACAATTTTGGCCACTACTGTATGTATGAAGAGGAGCAAGGATGGGGAATCTGTGATGCTCCAGAAATTGCTTTTTCCAGCAGTCCATAATATTGGATAGGGGGAGACAGAGTTCAGAATAGCTATAGGCTACAACAGTGATAGCTAACCTTTTTGCCGTCGTGTGCCAAAAGTGGGGGGAGTGCGGGGGGGTCATGTGTGCCTATGCCCACACCCATAATTCAATGCCTCTGTGCACATGCATATATGGACCCCCACGCTACCACTTTTGGCATGCAATGGCAAAAAGGTTACCGGTGGGCCCAGTAGGCCCATTTTTTGCCGTCCCCAGGCTCCAGAGCCTTTCTAGGAGCCTGGGGAGGGCGAAAACGGCCTCCCCCACCCACGCAGAGGCTCCCCGAAGGCTGGAAATGGCCTGTTCCCCCACCGGAAGGCCCGAAAATCAGCTGGCCCGCACACGCATGCACACTGGAGCTCAACTAGGGCAACGCTCACGTGCCGATAAATATGGCTCGACGTGCCACCTGTGGCACACGTGCCATAGGTTCGCCATCATGGGGCTACAATATGAGCCCCACCCAAATCTGTCATCTAAATCCAGGATTTTTTAAACCATAATCTCCTACATCCGGTCCCTTACTTAAGCTTCTTCTTCAGAGATGTAATTTCTTAGATTTTCCTTTTGTAAATTATCCAGGAAAAACATGCTGATAGAGGACTGCGCGATTCTGGAACCAATGTTGTCATCCACGGGTCACAATTTCCACCCAGGAGGCTATGCTCAGTCAACGTCTTCCAATTTAAGCCTTTTTTTTTTTCCTACCAGCACGCTGGTTTTTAATTGTTATCCCAAGGTGAAACTCATCTTCTATCACTAGTTGCCAAAAGGTTATTTTATTTATTTATTTATTATCCCTTTATTATTATTTTTACAAACAACTCAAGGTGGCAAATACATCCCAAACAAAGTTCTTCCTCCCACAACAACCACCACCCTGCTAGGTGGATTGGAGAGAGAAAGAGTGACTGGCCTAAAAAAAAAAGTCACCCAGCCAACTTTCATGCCCTAAGGCAGGATTTGAACTCGGGCTCTCCTGCTTTCAAGCCTGGTGCCTTAATTACTAGACCTCCGTTGGTTTTAGGGTCGAGACCTGAAAAATCGCCTCCCGAGCTCCAAATACTACCCTACTACTTCTGCTTCTCCTAGTCGGCATGCTCCAGCCATGCAGGACGCTACATCACCCATAATTCACAGCCGGGCAGGGAATGATGGGATTTGCGGGCAAGCCTGCAGAGGCAAAAGGTTCTGGAGGTATTGCGTTCTGCACAGTAATCATCAATCTCGGCTAAGGAGGCTTCAGTTCCCTCCCTTCCTCCCCAAGGACAACCCGGAGTCTGAGCCGCACCTGAGATCGGGGCTTCCCTGGAAAAGCCTGGAGACAAAATCCCGCATCTTTTGCTGCTGCCCAGCAGCGCCTCCTGCCATCCTTTCCCGCCAAATGGCACCTCCCGGCCAACGTAGCCCTCCCCTCCTCAACGTCTCATAGCAATTGTAGTCCCAACGGTGCCTAAAGAGGCGTAGTCGACAAAGGCAACGAACGCGCATGGGCGAGTAATTTTTACCCCACGGCCTCATGGGAGATCATCTGCGAGCCAATGAGAGCGGAGGGGCTCCCCTGCAGAGTTCTTGGGAAATGTAGTTTTTTTTTAAAAAAATATAGCGGTCTCCCCCTCGCCGCCTTAAAATAGAGCTATCTGGGTCCTTGCTGGGTCTTTCTGAGACTCGTTCGCCCCTTTGTGCAGTGGTTTGTGCAAGTAAAAATTGAAGTTAAAGAAAGAGGTTATTGGCTGAACTTTCATTTATTTGTGTGGTTTGATAAACCTCAGTAGAATTAGGTCAGCAGTACACAAACTTGTCTGCTACAACGTTCTACCTGTCAATTACTACTTCAGCTTCAACCGCAATAATACACGGGCAAACAATAGATACAAACTCAAGCCAAACCGCTCCAAACTCGATTGCAAAAAATACGACTTCAGCAGCAGAGTGGTCAATGCCTGGAATGCACTACCTGACTGTTGTTACATCCTCAAACCCCCAAATCTTTTAACCTTAGACTATTGTTGACCTCATCCCATTCCTAAGCGGTCCGTAAAGGGGACGTGCATAAATGCACCAGCATGCCTACCATCCCTGTCCTATTGTCACCATTTATTTGTACTCATTTCCTATGTTCATGTCCATGTTTATACTTATATCTGATACCTTGTACATGTTAGACTGATAAACAAACAAACAAACAAACTGTAATCCAAATAGAACAAGCTGGATTTTCCCCCAAACGTGATTGTAGCGATCAGATTCTTGCATTAACTTCTTACCTGGAGAATGGATTCCAAAGGAAAATGAAAAATGCCTGTTTTTCTTGACCTCTCGGCAACCTATGATACTGTCTGGAGAGAAGGACTGCCCAAACAGACAACCTAATTGAACAGAATTAGGTGTGACATTGGAAGAAATGCTTCTGCCATATATCAGTGGGGATGAAAAGATTCCCTTTGTTGCAATTGTGTTGCTGCTATGCAAACTATTAAATATATTATGCAAGATTGCCCATGGTGCGCATTCTCTAGTCTAGAAGATCTACATGAAGCAATGTCAGAGATGATCGCCCGGATAGCTGAATTGAATATCCAGTTATGAGGCCACTACCATACCCCTGTAGAAGTTTTACTTATCTGGACTGTGTATATATGTTTATTTTTCTTTTATCATGTTCTCATCATACACTAAATATTAATTACTTGATAGTTGCTACCTGATTTAAAATAAGGTGATTTATTACTGCATTATTGTTGTGTTTGTATTTTACTATGCCTGGTTTGATTTGGCTGAACTACAAAAATGTAAAACAAATAAATGGTCACATAACAAATAAAGTGGACGTCAATTCCTTTTTGAGTTGGGACCAATAGCACAACTGTTGCGGCTAATCTTCCCGGCCTGGGGACAAAAGTGCTGCTACCTTTCAAAAAGACCTTGACTTTGTGAATGGTCAAACAATTGGCAACTCCAAATCTCAATCAACAAATGCTCTGTCTTCCACATTGGCAAAAAAACCCAGAAAGTCAATGCTTGGAATGCACTACCTGACTCTGTGGTTTCATCCCAAAACCCCCAAAATTTTAACTGTCTACTGTTGACTTCACCCCATTCCTAAGAAGTCTGTAAGGGGCGTGCATAAGAGCACCAGAATGCCTACTGTCCCTGTCCTAACGTTTTTTCTATTTGTATTTGTTTTATGTATCCAATCCATGCTTATACTTATTACCAAATATATTCTTGACAAATAAATAAATAAATAAATAAAATAAAAAAGTGAACTTGATGAAGGAAAGGTAGGTGAAATGAGGACCCAGATTGTGGGGGCAATAAATTGACTTTGTATAAATATACAAAAGTATGAAGGCTATTGCTTAACGCATTGTAAGCCGCCCTGAGTCTCCAGAGAAGGGTGGCATATAAATTAAAGCAAAAAAAAAAAAAAAAGAAAAATGTTCTGTAGCTTTCTTCTAGGCTGGCTTTGTGTTACATTGATTATATCTCCAAATTTTCATTATATAAATGAATGATTGGAAGAGAACATTCCCAACGTGCCCAAAGATTACAATACATTTACTGAAACCAACAAGCGAAACAAAGAGATGGGGCAAAACAGTACGGTCAATGCATTATCCATAACCAAAGCAAGATAGGAAAGAGATTTTAGCAGGCTAAACTCAATTATACTACTATTTCTTAGCAAACGTGGGTAGGATAAAAAATAAAGCAGGAACCCTGAATATTAAGAAAAATGTCACCACGACTCCTTAGTTCTTCTCCTCACAATGCATGCTGGGAGATGTAGTTCTGAGCTCTCCACGTGCCCGCTTTCCAAAGCATGCCGGGAAATGTAGTTTTTCCACTCCAGCTTTGAATCGAGGTTCCTGTTCCACGTTACTTCCCCAGCTGGGCATGAACGGAGCAGGAGAGCCGGATCCGGGCGGCGGGGGCTACAAAAGGCGTTATAGAGCCTTAAAAAGGAGGCTCAAATTCCTGATTTATGTAAGCGGCCGGGAATTTCGGGGGATGGAAGGGAATTGGTGCTGGCAGAACGAAAGGGGGTGGGTTGGAGGAGCAAATATTTTAGGAAGACCTGGGCATGGGGGTGGGTGAGAATAATAAGGGGAGTTTTACCAGAAAGAATAAATGGTAAAAATCATATTGACCGCATGCCTCCCAAACATTTAAAGAGATTCTGACATTTGGGGTGGAAAAGAACACGTGTGGATGCTGAGTAAATTTAGGGGTGATGAGGGTAATCAGAGAGACAAGATCTTCCACTTGAATGTTATAAAAGGATTATTACAGAGAGGGCTGTAAAGTCTAACCACCGCTGCTATTATTTTGCCCATATGGTCCATAAGAAGGCATATACATGTTTATTTATTTATTTATTGAATTTCTATACCGCCCTTCTCCCGAAGGACTCAGGGCGGTGAACAGAATAAGATTTCATATACATATTATATATATATATATATATATATATATATTATATATATATATATATATATGTATGTATGTATGTATATATAAACAGTAAATAATAAATTGAGTCAACATAGTGTATCTGCTAAGACCTTGGCATAGAATTTAGATGTTTATGCTAGCCCTGCTTGTTGAAACAGAAAGGTCTTCAGGGCACGTCGGAAAGTACGAAGATCTGGGATTATTCGTATTCCAGGGGGTATTTTGTTCCAAAGAGAAGGTGCCCGCACAGAGAAGGCTCTCTTCAAGGTTGAGAAACACGGTTCTCAACCTTGAAAACTTAACGAGGGGATTTCAATTCCCAGAAGTCCCCATACGTGCTAAGGTTAAGAAACACTGCTCCAGAAGCTCAGGTTCAAACTGACCTAGATTGTTTTGTTGGGAGCAGCCCAGAAATAATTTGTCCTTGCCTTATTCCAGGATATGTTTTGGAGTTGTCTGTCTCTAGACAGCCTTGGTGGTCCTCCATTCAGCAATTAGTCAGATTCAGCTAATTTTAATTTTACAGGTCAGTGCGTAACATACACATCTACAATTTGGGACTGACTACTTTGCTGACCATCCTGGTAAACTATTACTGTTTGTTCAAGCGTCACATGTTAGGGGAACTCAGAAATTGTATTTTATTTACATCTTAAAAGTTGCTAAAGTTGAGAAACACTGAGCTAACAGGCTACAGAATTTGAGGAGACTGCAAGAAAGGGTGTTAGTCTCACAGGGTGTCCTAGATCCTGCTTTCCCAACCACAATCACTAGATTCACATGATATGATAAGGCAACACTAAGCAAACAGTGCCAGATCCCGTGGCCTAGAGGTGGAGCTCTTGCCTCATAATCAGGAGATTGTGAGTTTGATCCTAGGTAGAGGAAGATGTAGGGTCTCCCTTCCAACTCTGTTAATCTGTTAAAAAGAGCCTTGTCTATCAAATTCGCAGTAGAAAAGAGACGATACTAATCTGCCTTGCAAGTGGCTGGGATTACCTGCCTCCCCCAAGACCCCCAAAATTTGGGGAGAATTTATCTCCATTTAATACAGCCAATTAGTATTTCCACAATAAAGAGCTATTTTCTTATAATAGCAATTCTACCTATAGGGAAATAATTCACAAAACAATACAGTACTGTAAAAAAGTAACACGAATAATCATATTATATTGATGATGCAGATAGTCCTCATTTTATGAGTGGTTGCTTAGCGATGGGGGTTGTCACATGAGAGCACGATGGGCACTTGGCAGTTGACCCACATTTATGGCCATTTGCAGCACCCATGGTTATATGAACATGTTTTATTATATTTTTGCCTGAACCGACATTTACTTCTAGTTTTTGGCAAAAAGTGGCCCATAATGAATAATGGATTTGCTTAACGACTGCTGCAAAAAAGTTACAAAAACAGGCTAGTCACTTGGGTGACTGTTCTACGACTCACATAGTGGGCAGCCTCCATTATGGTCATAAGTGGAGGACTACCAGTAGTGAACAAGAGAGTCAACTCAGGCAGGGATGCAAAATCTGACCAAGAACTGGCTGCTACTTGATGGCTCTGAAAAGCTGCAATTTTTCCTGTTTTCATGATTTTTATGGAAGGGGAGGATAAACCCCCAAAGAGGAAGAATGAACCAGGGGTGGCAACTGTCTGGAGTGATGCCTGGCACTCACTTAATCTTTCCAGATCCTAGAGACTCTGTGGACAAGTGAAATAGAACATATATTGGAATGCTGATTGTATAGGTAGTCCTCAACTTACAACAGTTCATTTAGTGACTGTTCAAAGTTACAACAGCACAGAAAAAAGGGATTTACGACCGTTTTTCACACTTACGACCTTTGTAGTATTCCTCTGATCGTGTATCAAAATTCAGATGCTTGTGAACTGGTTCGGACTTATGACTGTTGCTGTGTCCCAAGGTCATGGGATCCCCATTTGCGACCTTCTGACAAGGAAAGTCAAATGAGCAAGCCAAATTCACTTAA